CTGTTGCAAAGTTTTATGCTGCCCTTCTGGTGAAAAAGCACCAGCATTTAAAATTTAAATATCAGGACAGAAATATATTAAATAATCAACCAAGGAGACAGCATCAGGTGTTAATATCAAGCATAAATATTATCTGCCTCATCAAATAAAATCCTGCCAGAGCAAAATGGGTCTTTTGTGTCCATGCTTCACAGGACAAGTGTTTCATAATCAAGGTGGACCCCTTTCTCATCCCATTCATCCTTGCTTCCACCCAAGGTGAGATACAGAGCTCCCTCTTTAGGAGCAGGCAGGATGATTTGGGAAGAGACAGCCCCCAAGCCTAAGGTCTCCTGATCTAAACCATTTAGGGCTGATGATCACCAACGCTTTGGCTTATGCTGGAAACCAGATTGGTAACCAGTGCAGCTGCTGCAGAATGGCGTCATATGATCTCAAAGCAATATATTTGTAGCTGCATTCTAAACCTGCTGAAGCTTCCAAAGATTTTCAAACATTAGCCCTATGTAGAGCACACTAGATGTATTATCTGTGGTTCCTGTAGTTGCATCTAACATCAAAAGCCTTATGACACAAGTACAAGAATTAGGACTGCAGTGTGTGCCTACTCAGAAGTAACTCCTACTGAGTTCCATGGGGCTTACTCCCAGGTAAGTGTGACTAGGATTGCAGCCTTAAGCAATTACCTGGTTAAAGATTTTTTTCAAAAAAAATATTGTAGTCCCCTAAGAAAACAAAGAGAAGAGAAGACTCCCTGGAAAAGACCCTGATGTTGGGAAAGATGGAGGGCACAAGGAGAAGGGGACGACAGAGGATGAGATGGTTGGATAGTGTTCTCGAAGCTACAAACATGAACCTGACCAAACTGCGGGAGGCGGTGGAAGACAGGAGTGCCTGGCGTGCTCTGGTCCATGGGGTCACGAAGAGTCGGACACAACTAAACGACTAAACAACAACAACAACAAGAAAACAAAACAAAAAATGTTTAAATACCGTTTATAAAAACTTTCAACAGTGGTGCATCTAGGGCTGGATATCAGGGACCAGGTTCAGGGATCTGCAGTCCAAATGACTGCCCAGGGGGCAATAAATGATAGGGCAGTTCTTGGGCTGGCATGGACGTGCCAGGGTCAGCCAAGGGTGTGGCCAGGCATGTATATGGTCACAAACGCTCATTTTAATTTTTATTTACTTTTAAAATACTTTAAGCATTTCTACAACACGAGCAAATGTGCTTAGCATTAAGGAAGCAGAAACAAACCCTGTTTTATTCCTGTAGCCATGGCGATGCTATGTCCTAAGTGAGTTCAAAATGTGAATTCACATATGCTCGGTGTGTGTGTGTGTGTGTGTGTGTGTACATATATATATATATATGCCTAGACACCCCAACTTTTACACGGGAAGACACCCGAGGACACCAAAACCTGCATTCCTGTACCCGTGAAAATCTACGAAAGCATATATATATATATATATATATATATATATATATATATATAAATGGTAGGCAAACTGCTTTTTCAGTTACTTTTTGCTGTATCATAAATGTAGAGCCTGGAATGGAGATGGTGGTTTGGGAGGGAAATGACATATTAACTGTGTGTTTCACAACTGAAATAATACCCATGGTTGTTTAAGCCCCAACCTTGTCATAAGGCCATCAAATACAGGGTCTAATATTACCTACCTATGATGTCCAGAGCATTGTCTTTGAGAGAGGCATCCTCTCTTTTTTCTCGCATAGGAGGGAATGCCTCTTCTAAGAAGATGACTGCTATTGCTGAGCTTAAGCAGTCATGCATTCCTCCAGTCAATAGAGGGCAGGGTTAATACTAACAGATAGGGAAGATGCAGTTTATGGTTTCCATCCTAACACCTAAGCTCAGCACCTGCCTCCTCTGCGTTTTCTCTCTCCTCCTGCACAAAGCAGCCATGAAACTATCTCTCCCGATTGTAGGCTTAGAATCCAAAGCCATCCAAGTCCATATGAAGTAACTGTTAAGTAAAGAACCATTTTTTCCTTTGACCTATGGAACTCTGTGCATTTTTTTTATCCTATTAAACAATGCTAGTGATGTGTGGATCAGACAGACGATGGGTGGTGAGTTAGCTCCTGCTTCCAAACTATTTTTACTCTGCTAAATATATATACATACATACATACATACATACACACACACACACACACACACACAATATAAGTCAACAACTTTTATTTTTTGAAACATATTAGCAATAACACATGTGTTCCCCTAACAAAATTAATGATTCTTGCTTCAGAATGATTATTTTTCACTCATATGCATATTAAATTGATGAATTGACTAAAACTCCTATTATTAATTGACCAAGTGTCAGATCCAGGCTTGGCCGTGCTTAAAACATGACAAATTGATTTCAATGGGTCAACTCTAATGATGGCTAAGTTTGCATCTAGTGCTAGGGTTTTATAATTGGGTGGTAGCCCCAAGAGGAAATTAATGTTGGTCGGTTGGAGCTGGTCCTTATTGAGACTGCTTCTGGTGGCCAACCAATGCTCTTCAAGGTGCTCCTCTTCCAAAGCAGAGCACGTGCAGGTTTTATGTTGCCTGCGTTAATCTGCCTTCAATCTGTTTTACATCTGCAGAGGCACTGGACTCTACCTTCACTTTCCTGTGCTCTGCTGTACAATGATGCTGTGATTCCCAGGCTCTGCTTAGATTCCAAGCCCATGACTGGCCACTCACGCATATACACAAAGCATTATTTGAATTCAGAGTTTGCTCACCAGAGTGAAACAGCCTCCTCTCCTCACCTCCCCGCCTCCCAATGTCACACCTGCATCTCAGACCACATTCCATCCACAAACAAGGCTTTAGCTTCTTTCACCCGCAGAATTTTCCTGCTCCTTTCTGTACAGGCCAGAGTTCAGAAGGTTTGTGGTTTCTTCTCATTCCAGAGAAGTGAGTGATCCTTGTGTGCACATGGAACACGAAGGAGTCACCAAGCCAGAGGGGGCTTCCTGGGGGTGGGGGGCAAAGGACTAACTTGGGCTTGGGTTTCTCTTGTGAAATGCTCCTTTCGGTGGTAAGCAAGGCACCGCTTGCAAAAAAAAACCAAGAAATGTTGGCATGCTGCACATGGGGGCTCATTATTACTAATTCCCTGCCTGCTTTGGAAAATGCTACGGTAAAGAGAAAGCTGTCGACAAATGCTTTGCAGCATAGCCTAGCCAAACTCAATGGAACTTGTGGTTTAACTTAGGAACCCTCTAGTTTCTAGTCTTAGAATTGTCCTTGCCAACTTTGGAGTCAAAACTCTGCTGCTTGACCAGAGAGGTACACACTACAGAAACCATAATATGCTTAATTTACCAGATGATTAACCGAACCAACAATGTGCAATATACTAATAAAAACAAATCTGAATCAGCAGCAAGATGGATGCCTTAGGTGACACAATTTGAAAGGGACAATAAGGATATCGTCTCCAAAGCTGCTGTGGGACCAGTTTTGCACAGAGGAGCCCACATCAAGACTGCAGTGGCTGCAGTTAAAGCTTAATACCTTGCATGAAGGCATCTGCAAAGCAAATTGCCCCTAGAGCAGGGGTGGGGAAGCTGTGGCCTTCCAGATATTGCTGGACTGCAGCTCCTATCACCCCTGGCCATTGACCATGCCAGCTTGAGCTGATAGAAGTTGGAGCCCAGCATCCGTAGGGATGCAGCTTCACATGATACAATCAGAGTCATTCAGTAGTGAGGGAAGGAGCAAAAAGGAGCAAGAGACCTTTTTCAATCTGGTTCTTCAAAAAAAATGCCCCTCCAACCCAATTGGGACATAACCAAAATCGATCAACTGTGATCTGGCTGTGGGCCCAGAAAAATGCATGTGATAATCACCCTTCTTGAACTGCAGCAGTTCAGAATGAAGGCAAGAGATTGCATGATCAAATGCTCCCTGCCCCATTGAAATCTTAGCAGGCTGAGGAATATGATTCCATTCCAGGTAGTTTTTTAAGCAGTCAAATATGCAGTCAACACTAGCATACTGAACTGTAAAGTCAAATGAGGGCTCTGCTGGATTACTTCTCTGAATGTGTAGATTGATCCCGGTTCTTCCTTTTTCATGTGGAAAATTCTATCTATTACTATCCTGCCTCCTGCATCTGTTGCATCAGTCACAAATGTTGCAGGCTCAGGATATGATATTAATCAACAATGGTGCATAAATGGGGTGAAACAGTCCAGCGTAGTAAGGAAGGAGGGATGACATCCTGCCCGCAAGGGTTTTGATTTTAAGAGTGGTGTCTCTCCTGCTCCAGGAGAGCTGCTTGTGTATATATACCCCAGTGTCTTTACCTTGACCAAAGAGGCAATAAATAACCTCCTCCATCTCCTAGTCCCTTCAGAATAAACCCTTTTGCCTCTTTAACATGAGGAAGTGAATAGTAAGTCCTGCTGCCTTGTGAGGTGAGTGACCCAAACGAACTGCACCCTGTTTGTTCAAATCACTGTGGCTGCCGCAGTTTTCTCAGCTGTTCCTCCTTCCTTTGGCCCATCTCCGGCAGGAGAACAGGGCATGACTTGTTCTGCCTCCTTTCTCAAACCCCTTGGCCATGGCTCTCAAGCCCTCATGTGCAGCAAGCAAGTGGCAGGGGTGGAGAGAGTGGGAAGGGGGGGGGGTGTTTGAAAGGAGAGGCAGTTCCCTGGATTATTTTTTTGGCACACAGTTTCTCATCTACAAGGCTAGGAGGGGGAACACGTACTTAGAAAAAGAAAACTTTCTAAAGTGGGCTTGTCTTGTGGGGCAGATCCTTCCTGAATTTTTCTGCCGTCTCTGCATCCTTTTTTTAAAATCACCAGTGGAAGGCATGCAAGAGAACAAACAACCTTCAGGCATAGCAATGTTTCTACCCACTGCAGAAAGTTAGGGCCCACAAGTTCAATTTAATTCAAATCCCCTGATTGTTTACCCTTTTTCCTTTTCCACCATGCCTCACTTTTTTCTCCTGTCTAGGTCAACAACAATGGAATCATTTCCTTTTTGAAAGAAGTGTCTCAGTTTACACCAGTGGCTTTCCCCATCTCCAATGACCGGCGTGTGGTTGCTGCTTTCTGGGCGGACGTAGATAACCGGCGTGCAGGGCAAGTGCATTACCGGGAAACTAAGGACCAAGCCATTTTGATGAGGGCCACTAAGGACATCCAGCAATATTTCCCAGAATTCCCGCAGTTCTCTGCCCAATGGGTATTCGTGGCCACTTGGTACCAGGTCACCTTTTTTGGAGGAAACTCGCTTTCTCCGGTAAGTGGCGAAGGATGTTGGTGTTGGGTACTGGATAAGGGGGTTATTTTCCATAGTGCATATTGGGGTAACCAATGTGGTCGAATTACAACTCACATAATCCTTGACCATGCTGTCTGGGACTTACGAGAGCTGTAACCCAACAACTTCCAGAGGGCACTATGTATACAGTGGTACCTCGGGTTACAGATACTTCAGGTTACATTCACTTCAGGTTACAGACTCCGCTAACCTAGAAATATTACCTCGGGTTAAGAACTTTGCTTCAGGATGAGAACAGAAATCGTGCTCTGGCGGCAGCGGGAGGCCCCATTAGCTAAAGTGGTGCTTCAGGTTAAGAACGGACCTCCGGAACGAATTAAGTACTTAACCCGAGGTACCACTGTATTCTATTTCATGTTTTACAGTTGCAAACTACAATGTGTAATTAGCTGCTGAAGCAGTTAAACTTTTATTTATTTCAAACATTTACATTCCACCTTTCTGCTATGTAAGCCTTCATGGCAGATAAAAAAACATTGTGAGGCGGGGATTTGTTACACAATCCAGTAACAAAAAGAATGAGTTTTAAAGACTAAAACTTTAAAAGTAAAAAATCATAATAGCAGGTACAAGAGCCCAAACAGAAAGCACGTTGGAGAGTGGCAAAACTATTAAAAACCTGGAATGCCCTTGCTGAAAATTCAGGCTCAGACCTTCTACCTCTTCCTGTAGTTAAATTCTGTAGAAGGCACGTCCTATGGTCTGAGAAGGGATTAAGAACCATTGTGGCTGACTTTCCAGATAAACAGTCTGGCTCTGATAACTAATTCTGCAGTTTATTGTGACATTTTCATTGCGGCTTTTGCGGTGCTGTTCTTTTCTCTTTCAGGTTAACACCTTCCAAATAGTCCTCATCACCGACGGCATGCTGTCCTTCACTATCTTCAACTATGAGTCCATCACCTGGACCACTGGAATGCATGCCAGCAGTGGAGGAGACTCAGCTGGCCTGGGAGGCATTGCGGCCCAGGTAGACTCCATGGTCACACCTTGCAAGCAAGTCTTCTTTCTAATACATGGCGTGCATTTTTCCAGACAGTAGTATTGAAATAGCAAGGCAATATTTCCTCAGCCCCAATTTCTCTCTCTTACTCTCTCTTCAAAGCCATATAGAGAGATAGAGCAACCACAGCTCTTTACATTGGCCAGTACCTCATGGTTCCTTCCCATCACAACCTCAGACTCTTTAAAGAGCCACCCAGCAGAGGCTGCAGCAAGTACAGCCTCCCTTTGGTATCCCCCCCCCCAATTCTGGTGTGCTGTTTTCTTTCTTTTAACTAGTGGCTGTTCAGATGTGTGAATTTACCACTAATTGATCTGTGCTTGGCTGGCTGCCGGCTCTCATCTGAGCGTCTCCGGTAGGCAGGAAATTGCAGGTGTAAAGGAAATGGACCCATTTTCAATCCCAGAAATTCAGAAGTGCAGGCTTTTTATGACTGTAAACAGAGCAGTAACCGCATGCTTTGGAATACTGTACAGTGCTTCAGGAACACCCTGCCCCAGTCCAGCCAAAGCAGGAGAGAGGGGGGGGGGAGTTGAAAAGTTTTTCACCAGGCTTGTGACCAAGTTTGCAAAAACGTGCTGCTGTAACTCGCAAGGCGATAGAGTGCCTCGGCACGAGCACCTCACGGCTCAGCATGGCAAAGGCTTCTGCTTGGCTACAGCTAGCAAATCTGTTCTCGTTTCACGGAAAGGAGTGAGAGTGTCCAAGATTCTCTTGGATTCACCCTGTGCAGATGAATGGGGATGAAAATAGGCTCAGCGTTCTGTGTGCGTTCCAGCAAGTGAGTCATGGATGTGTGGGGATTGCTGAGGCTTTATGGTGCCAAGAGCCATTTGGGAGAAGGGTTGCAATAAGTAGATCATCCAATCCCTCTCCCTGTCACCTTTTTTTCTTTTTCCTTTTAATGCTGACAGTTCCTCATGTGTCATAGCCAAGACCTTTAATCATAGCTGACATGCAAAACAGTTACAGGATGCCTTCGAGGATCCTTGACTGCTCAGATGTTCTGAAAGCAACTGAAATCGAGGCTCCATTGTGATGGGTGCCCTGTAGAAAGAATGCTTGCCTCAAAGCAGCCTTGCAAATAAGTTGGTCGCCCACAAAAATGTGCACTAACTGCCAGCGAACATTAGTCATTTATGGCCTGAAAAGAAAGAGCGAGCCAGCTTCCATAAACTTTCCTCGCATGGTGGCCACAGATAAATTATCTTCATCACAGGTGATCAGGCAAATGGTTGTTTACATGGCTGCTCAAAGAAATTGCATTCTGAATATATTTATTACATTTATGTCCCAACTTCTTTTTATTTCCTGTGGAAATAAAGGTGGTGCACCTAGGGGAAAGGAAACGGAGGGAAGTCAGGAGGTTAAAGAGAACCTCTGAAAGATATTTTCTTTTTTCTTTCTCTTCTTTCTCTTTCTTTGCTTCTCTTTAGTCTTATTTCACTTTTTATTTTTTATGTTGGATATTTTATATCTTTAATTCTGCTTAATGGAAAATAATTGCTGAAGTTGAAATTATAAAACCAATAAAAAAATTATTTACATACATACATAGGGTTCTCCCATTCAGGCACTGATCAGACACAAGCCTGCATGTTTGCTGCATCACGGGCCGTCAGACCATAGCCCTAGATCTTGCATGATAGGGAAGGAATGGGAAAAGACATCCAAGTCCTGGAAGGAATTCTTTTCCAGGAAGGCAAACTGCTGCCCCCCCCCCCATCAGGGACTGGAAGAGTTGTTGTGCTGGGGGGTGCACTGCCTCTGATCCAAAGCAGGAAATTTTCAGGTGGGAAGTGGTTGTAGCAGTAACCAATATGCAGAGGAATGCTCCCCTTCCTTGTGTTCTTGCAGTCCATTCTTCTGCAGGGCACTGGGGGGGGGGGAGAGAGAAGTCCCTTGCCTATCCCCACAGCTGCCCTGCTTTCCCCAGCGAGAGGTTTCACTCTCTGCCCTTGTCTTCCTAGGCAGGTTTCAATGCCGGTGATGGAAAGCGGTATTTTAACATCCCCGGATCCCGCACTGATGACATTGTCGACGTGGAGATGACGACAAATGTGGGTATCCCCGGGCGCTGGGTGTTCAGAATCGATGATGCCCAGGTGCAAGTGGGGGGCTGCAACAACACAAGTAAGAGGACAGCAGTTAGGTTTATTTAACCAAACCAATTCTTCCATCCCTTCTCTTTGTCCCTGTGAAAATCCCAGCGCTTATGACAGAAAGGCAGCCGCTATGCAGCTGGGGTAGTTTGGGTAGTTTGGGTGGGGCAAGTGGAAGCCCTATTTTCCTCTGTGCATAAATATGGCCAGCAGGGCATGGGAAGCACTGGTGGAGGAGCCATGTTCAAGCTGCCATTTGGGAGGATATGACTGTATTGCTGCATGAAACCAAGAGAGCGTCTCTGGCTACTGGAGAGCTATGATGTCTTTTGCCACTGCCGGCTCAAGTTTTAGAATGAGGCAAGGGGAGAACCTGGAGATAAATGAATGTAGGATTATGTGTAAAATGGGCCTCCAGGCTTAGAACTGCAAGCTTTAAATGGTAGATGCTCTCTGAATGGTTGGTCAGTCATGGAGTTGATTGGTCATAGAGTAAATAAGTGCAATCCTAGACATGTCTACTCAGAAGTAATTCAGTTGGGCGTACTCCCAGCTAAGTGTGTGTAGGATTGCAGCCCTAGTTTAATTGGGGTGGGCCAATTTCAAATCATGAGACTGAGTTAAGGTCATGCATGTTTGGTTTTCAGCTACTTTGGTGTTACCATAATATGCGATGAAAAGCAAAATATGAAAGATGGCCTTGCCTTTTAACAGTAACTGGAATTTCAAATGTATCTCCCAACTTTCTTTGTATCATACACTTCTTCATTGCCAGAGTACTTTATAGCTGTTTTGCCTGTGCATGTGTGTGTGGTGTTGCTGTTTTGCATATCTGCTATTTAATATTGTAAGAATGGGAAAATTCTTAATAAAAAAATTGCGAGAGAAAGTACACTTTTAAGACTCTAAGGGCTTGTGTACATCAGAGTTTACTGTGTGTTTGTGTTCTCATTTAATTTGTGTAGTCCACATGATGTTACCCTCCAACAATACCAGTCGTGATGCTTTCCCCCTGCAAATCTAAATTTACCCAATATGGGGATAATCTGTTAAATTGGGGAAAATCAGGCTCCAAACTTCTCCACGTGGGGTTGCAGCAGTGTGTGTGTGTGTGTGTGTGTGTGTGTGTGTGTTTGGGTGGGTGAATCAATCATCACTGCCAGTTCCCTTACCACACCCACTACTGTGTTTTCTGGCATCACTTGTCAGTATTTCTGGCACACTCCGGATGGGGGATGATGATGATGGTCCTTCAGATGTGCACAAAGCTAGAAAACTACACAAGCAAATTTACAATTGCTTGACCGTGTGCCTTTGCTCACTTCCTGGGTAGGTACATGTGCATCTGTGCATGTGCCCTGTCAGTACTTAATTGGCATAATGGAACCTACAAGTTGAAAGGTAGGAACAGGAAAGACCAAAATTTCTCCATGTATGCAAATTTAGATATGGGTAGCTGCAGACTCCTCCAGTTTAATTTGAATGAGGAAAAAGTGGATTACTTTACCTTTGATGCTCAAATGTGGAGAGGCTTTAAAATGCATAAAATATCACATTTCAGCTCTGTGATCAGTTAGTGTAATCCTAGTAGAGATGTCTCTGCCACCATTTGCTTCTTTGGACTGCAGAAGGAAGATGCTGCTAGGTTCTACTAGAAATGTTGCCATTTGCAAATCTGTTCCACAGGGCTCATAAAATACCTCTCTACAAATTGGTGAGGAGCCTAAATACAGTATGTATTACATGTATACGGTAATAGTCTTCCTCAAATTGGCTATTGGTGTATGCAATGTGAGAGTAACAGTAGTGCCCAGTTTCTTGTCACAACAATTCCCCAACATTGGCACATATTTCCAAACAAAAACATATACCCGGACTTTACCGGATCTTAGGCTCACATGAGTTCTCTTCTGACTCTGAGACCAAGACTTGACTAATCTGCCTATATTAAGGCTATGCGCCTCTCTACAGCTCTCTGGGGCTATATTTCACCCCCTGAGATTGCCCCATCTTGGGAAATCAAGTGGTTTGCTATGTGACTGTTTCCCAAACCATTTTGCCTTTGCTTACCATTGGTTCTTGAAGATCTAATCTTATTTTTAAGCATGCATTCACACACACACACACACACACACACACTTTAATTTTTTGGTCAAAGAGTTATAGAATGTTGCTGGCATTTACCCAGCTCTTGATTCTTAGTTTTGTCACCAAAATATTGTAACTTTCCTAAAGGCAAAGAGCATGTCTTTGCAGAATGCATGTTATGGGGTGTGCGCAGTGGGACACAGAGCTGGCCTAAATTGTTGCATGTTTGAACTCTGTTCAGAATTTCTAAGCAGAAAGGAATACTGGTACAATCATTAACATTTTCTCTTTGTGAACTCCTAATAGTTTGCCTTTAATTGAGGATTAATTTGACATTTGGTGGTCAAAATGATAATGTAAGATGTTTAGAGAGCAAACAAAAGACTTGACATGAACAGCAGAGAGCAACACACACACACACACACACACACACACACAAACAAACAAATGGAAACAAATTTAATATACAGTATTCAAAATATTTTGAGATCGTACTATAAATTCTACAAAATTTCAATCCAGTTTAAATGTGGACGTGCTAATTTGAATTGGAATGTGGCACTTCCATCCATGAGCCCAGTGTGTTAATTACAGAGCAAACAGGGGATGAAGGCGGCAGGGACAATGGAAGGTGGATCAGTTCAATGTTATTGTTGCTGCAACACATTCTAGTAGTTCTCTAGCTATGCTATCATTTATTGAACACTGGGTTTGCTTCTTTGTGCAGCATCGGTGTGCCTGACACTCCGCCCTTGTCTGAATGGAGGGAAGTGTATTGAGGACTGCATCACAGGTAACCCCTCCTACACCTGTTCTTGTCTGGCTGGCTTCACTGGAAAGCGATGCCAAATTGGTGAGTCTTGCTCATACTTTGCTCACAGTCTTCTATTGAGGGGCTTCAATGAGCTTAAGAAGAACCTTGCCAGATCAGACCAAAGGCCCATCTAATCCAGTATTCTGTTTTCACAGTGACCAAGTAGATGCTTATGAGAAACCCATATGGAGGACATGGTCCTCAACTGTGAAATCCAGAGACGTACTGCCTCTGATATTGGGGATAAATAGCCATCACGACTATAACCCACTGATAGCCTTACCTTACATGAACTTGTCTTTTTGAAACAATCTAAGTTGGCCATCGCCAGACTTTGTGGTAGCTAATTCCATAGCGTTCGTCTATCCTGAATTTCTTCAGCTTCATTGGCTGACCTTGTGTTCCAGCATTATGAGAGATGGAGAAAACTTCAGCATGTATATTTTTATATACCTCTGTCATGTGCCCTCCTTATTTTTCTTTTTTATAAACTAAAAAGCCCCAAATGTAGTAACCTTTCTTCATATGAGTTTTGCTCCAATCCCCTTAATCATTTTGGCTGCCCTTTTCTCAGGGGCTGCCCATCCTGTTTCACCACTTGAGGTGAAATAGGAAGGTTCTGCCCCCCACCCCACCCCTTTCAGTGAGATTTTCCAGTGAGTGTGGACTGGGTAGAATTCTGCAGGCCAGACAGAGATGCCTGGAAAGCTTCCTTTGGCCTCTGAGGTTCCCCACCACTGGTATAAGGCTTCTTCGTTTGCTAATATTTTAATTCATGTTTCTCTTGTTGGCTTATTATTGCCCACCTGCAGCTGCTCCATTCCTTGCTGTAGCTGTCCCATTCTTGAAGAACTGAATGCCCATGAGAACTGACCTATGTTTGTCTTTGGCATATTGTCATTATTAAATTAGCCAGTTACGGTACTTCTCTGTTGAAGTGTCAGGGTGAACGAGGAACACACTAAAGCTTTCATTTAATGAAGTCCTGGGACACTACTAGAAAACCTCTTTGCTGAGTTCTCTGCTTGATTTGTTTGCAAGAAGATTAGATGATGTTGGCTAGTTAATAAGCATTTGTTCTGATTTGTTTTCAGGGAGGTTAGATGACATGTCAAAGAAAGTATTATCCCACACTTTGCAGTGCGTTTTTCTGTCACTTTCCATGTGACAAAAAGTTTAAGCTTTGGGAAAGTGGGCTTTTTGCACAAGACCTCCAAATAAAATATAATTTCACCATCTGAATTTGTTGGTATGAGATTGTATGTCATTCAAAAATAGCAATAGTCTGGAAGTGCCCCTGGTGACTGCTGCCATAATTAATGCTAATAGCTACTGCAGTGTTAGAAAGTTAAACCTGTTGACCTTAGGAAAGTCATTTCTAGCCTCTCAACTCCTATAATCCTCTACAGAGGCATTCAGGCTGTCGCCAGAGAAAAGGGTATATAACCCAAAGCATCTTAGCATAATCAAAAACATATAAAGGAAGGGTTTGTTTTCTGTCTTTGCATGCAATCCACACTTCTGGGAATGATGTATCCATAGTAGACATGCCTGGTTAATTACAGATGGTAATGCATGTGAAGTGTTTCGATTGAATGTATGAGAGCACACCCTACTTTTTCGCTTCCTTCCTATTACCTTCCAGATGTGGATGAGTGCGCTTCCAGCCCATGTCAGAACAAAGCCTCCTGCATCGATGGCATCAACAGCTTCAGTTGCTGGTGTCCACCAGGATTTAAAGGAGCCACGTGTGAAGTTGGTGAGAAACATTGTGTAATTGCAAAAGGACAGGGAAATCAGATAACAGCTTACAGGCAGGTCTAGGTGGACAAAGTGTTTATAAAGGCATTCCAGTACCAGTACCCAGTACTTTTTTCTAGAAAAATAGGTGCCAGTACTCGCCATGAAGTTGTTACAGTAAGTGCCACACTTTTAAACAACAACAACAAAAAGAGGTGCCAGTACTGTGTGACCTTGAGTACCCCCTGAAGAAGAAGAAAGCACTGCCAGTACCTCTTTATTTCAGTTCTAGTCTGGGGGTGGGGCTGAAGTTAGGGATGGCCTGCTCAAACTATGGTACTTTGTAGAACAAATTGGGATAGAAAGCAGTTAGCAGTTGGAGTGTGGGAACCGTACGCAGGAAAGTTGTCTTTCTAATTCTCTGCTGAAACATTCTGAATCAGGAAATGTTAGACTGTACAAATCATAAAATGGTGTATGTTTAGGTGTTGTCCCCCCTTAATCCTAGTGCCAGCATCCTTCCAAGTACTAGAGGGTGGCTAGTGTGCAGTCACAATAGTTTTTTATTCAGGTCTGGGGATGGGAGACCTTGGTGCAAAAGGTACAGGTGCCTTTCTGCAACACATATATGCACAATCATTCCCCAGAAGAACAGAACATATTTTTCCACAGCCTGCGTAGGATAGAAGTATACTATGGCTGGAGAAAAGCAAAGAGGTAAATGTGATCGGGTTTTGTACGTGGAAGTTCGTGTGTGTGTGTCCCCGTCCCACACAGCTATACCTGCGGCTGAATTAACCATGCAGCATACCTGAACCACTGCCCAGACAACACCTCTAAACAGAATGCCTTGTTCAGGGGCTCCTGTCTGGCTTGCCCTTTCCCAAACCAGAGCATTCCTTGGAGGCAAATCAAGTCAAGCGATTGATTCATTTGCCTGTTGATTGTTAAGAAAGTAACCATGCAATGCACTTCACGGTGTGCTATTCACTTGGCAAGGAGGTAGGGAAAGATGGACATAAATTTGGCATGTAAATGGCCACTAAAAGGAGTCTTTGTGGCTGCTGCAGGCATCACCATCCTCCCCAATATTATGAGAACACTCCAAATTTATCTGGTTTCAGAAGTTCAGTTGCATTTTTCCAACCTTGCAAGAGCCATTGACTGCAAACTATAAGGTGTACAACAGATTGATAGAAGGCGGTTGTTACCAGAAATTGGCTTTTTGCAGCATCATTTTTTCTTGCACAGAGTCTGAAGAGAGCTGTAATTGAATCAAATGCCTAAGGAAGGCACTTGAGCTTTGAGAGACCATAACTTCCTATATTCTGCCATTTCCCAGACCCCACATAGCTTCTTACTACCTATGGTGTTACAGCCAAGAAATGCTACTAATTCTGAAAGCAGGAGAAGCATGTCTGGGAAAGGGACAAACTAAGACCCTTGTCTGAAGCACCCATGCAGCAGCCTTGGGAGGAAACCACACCACACATGCTTGTTTGTATCAATGGAATGGGCAAATCTTTTGTGTTCTAATTTGAGCTCCATTTCTTGTTCTAAAACACTACAGAGGAGTCTCCATGTGAAGCCAAAGAGTGCCAGAATGGCGGGGAATGCCAAGTGGCCAACAGAACAGCTGTGTGCCTTTGCCAGCCAGGTTTTACAGGAGAAGATTGTGAGACAGGTGAGCTAACAATGAACACATTTAGGCCACCAGTCAAGCAGACAAAAAGAGGAATTTGGAAGATGTTCCAAGGTAAGTCAAGGGGATTCTACTATCAGAGGCTGGACCGCAAAGAGCCTATGTACACACGTCCACAGTCCAGCAGCAAGCATGTCTTTTTCTGCACACGCATGGGATTCTTCGCTCTCTTCCATTGAGTGGACTTATGATACCATGGGGAAGCTTCACAACAGTGATTCCCAGCTCTATTTCTACCTCCATCCTCATGAATGACAACCCTTAAATCCATCCATATGCAGAGACCTATATTTGTTTTAAACATGGCTAGGCCTGCAGTTATGGTCAGTTGCTGATCTTTTTGTTGTTGTTTCTTCTTCGCAGAAATAAACGAATGTGATTCCAACCCATGCCTGAACGGTGGGCGATGTATGGACCTAGTGGACAATTACACCTGTGTGTGTGTGGCGCCATTCACAGGACAGCGCTGTGAAACAGGTGCCCTGATTTCATAACTGCGTGGTGGCACCCTCCTTCTCCTCCCCACATAGCCAGATTCCTCTCAGTGGTGGACTCTTTGCTCTGAGCCTCTCTTTCTTTACTCTGTCAGACTCTCTCCTTAGGCCCAGCCCTGTACTTATTGTTGTGTATAGTTATTCAGCTGCGTTGGGCTGTACTGAGGCTCCCTACTCTTCTCCGCTCTAGATCCTTCAGCCTGTGAGGGCAGGAACTGCAGGAACCGACAGACGTGCAACTATATCCGCCCAGGGCGCTACATCTGCACATGCTCTCCAGGCTACTATGGGAACAACTGTCAATATGGTGAGCAGGATGACCCCACATCACCTCAGAGAGATTGTCTAAATCAGGGATGGCAAACCTGTGGCTCTTCAGTTATTGTTGAGCCACAACTCTCACTATCCCTGACTGTTCCCATAGGGCCGAGGCTGATGGGAAATGGAATCTAATAATATAGGGGAAACTGGTTCCCTATCCCTGCTATAGTAGATTCATTGAAAAAACCTCTTCACCCTCATTTTCGTAAATGTGCACCCTTCGATTTAGGGTTTTAAGTTGTTTTGTGAAATTTTTCAGCTACTTTTGGATCAGGTCTACTCAACTTAATCAAGTCATGTATTTATCTAAGGTTCTTTTGCAGGCTTCCACTACTGAAAATTCCAAAACACCCTAGCAACTATGCAGTTAGGACTCTTTTCCTGATATCCAACCAAAGTCCTTTGGGCTGCAGTTTGCACCCCATTATCTTCTCCACTGTATACATGGAGAACAACTGAACCCCATCCTCCTTCAAAGTAATAATTCATGTGTTTGAAGAACACCTAGCCCTTTTTCTTTGTGCAATATTAACCTGGCATTTCCCCTCTTTCCTCATGTTGTTGATCTCTCGCAAATATTTTGTAGGTGGGCCCAGAATGCCCAGTGCCTGCATGTCCAATCCATGTCAGAATGAAGGCACTTGCCTTGAAAGCAGCCAAGGATATGTGTGTGAGTGTGCGGAAGGATACACAGGCACTGACTGCGAAGACAGTAAGTGTACCCCAGTCTGTATACAAACTATGCATTCTCTTTGCAGGGAGGGGTGCTTTACCCAAAGCACCTATAGGAAGTTGCAGTCTAGCATGAAGGTTCATATGGACAGGGGAGCCATTATATTGAGAATTGGTTTTTTGGTTTTTGGTTTATAAACACAACGGTAGCAGAAAAGCAAATTAAAATAATATCAAAACAGAGGTGGGAAGGTGGAAGTGGTGCTGGTGAGTGTTCATAGCTTTTCTCACTTTCAGTTTACAGGGGTGTGAGAAAATCCCTTTACACTCAGCCAGGGATGGAGTTCAGTTTAGGCTTCCCAGTGGAGGCAAGTTATTAAGAAACAGGTATGCGTGGAAGAGATAAGTGTTCCCCACCATAATAAGCATGTCTGATTCAGACTCTGGCTTCTCACTGTTGCTTTGGGTAAAATGAAACCCCACCACCAAAAAACAAACGAAAACACCTCTTAGGGGAAATATGGAGAATTATGTGTGGTTGGACACTAAAATATATACATGGCCACTTGCATGTAGTGATGATGGCACGGACATCCCACCACAAGTTGCCAGTAGGGGAAGGACATGTTAACCAGTGATAGAAACTCTCAACGTAATGCCAATATAATGACTTAACCTGAACTACACACACACTATTCAAGAGCAAAGAGGCCTGTGATCTTGGCAAGTTCCCAGAGCCAACAAGTGCTCCAAAAGATGGCAGTCCTTTGGTTTCCATTAGATCAAAATGGGTGTTTACATCAGCCCCTAACTGTGGGACCATATTCAACAAAGTCAGAGGTTCTCATACCTTTCTTTTTTTCACGCTTGTGTGTAGCAAGCTCTTCTTTTGATGATTCAGGTCCTATAACAGCCCTTTCCCAGTCTATATAGAGAATGGCCGCCCTCTGACTTCCATCACGCTGTTGCAATTGCTAATGCACCGCAGCGTGGCCAGGTGGTACTTCATTTAATGGAGAGTCTCCTGTGCTAAATTTATTACACACTCTGCAGTATTGTGGGAGCTGCAATTTTCTCCATCCTATCACTACGTCTTCCTGTTCCCCACCCCACTTGCCCCTATAAGTCTTTTTTGCAATCTTCCATTTGGAGGCAGTGACCCCATGCAAGGAAACACTGGCTCATGTCATTCTCCAGAAGGAGAGGGGAAATGGGTTGAGTGTGAGGTACGTCTCTTACAAGAAGCAATGAGGCTCATTAGAGTCACTGAACAGAGCACAGATAGGACCACAAGGGAGCCTTTGAAAGGTGGAGCTTGATGACTCCAGTGGAGAGCAGCAGCAGCTGGTTTGTAATTTGCAGTCTCTTGGGTGTTAATTAAGGTAAATATCTGAGGTCATGAGAAAGGGAGTAAAGGTTCTGTCACCACAACACTTGTAGCCAAACCTAATCCAGATCCCTCCCCACAGCAGCCTGAACAACACTCTGTTGGTTACTGGTGGGGGTTGTGAAGGCCTCAGTAGCTTGAGCTTTTGCTGGCACAGATGAGCTTCATTAGTCCCCCCCCCACCCCCTTTGGCTTTTTGCAGAGCTCTCAGAGGACTGCGAGTGTCGGAACGGGGGGAAGTGTCTGGATGGAAACGTCACCATATGCCAGTGCCCTCCAGGATATTTTGGTCTTCTCTGTGAATTTGGTAGGAATGTTGTTAATAGCTACTGATAGGCTATTCTGTCCACCTTCTGATTACTGGTTTCTGTAGCTCAGTAAAGCTCTCCACCAATGAGCTCTTGCTTTGGAGATAGATGAGCGTTTTTCAGACAGCTTAAGGCAGGTTGAAAATTAAGTTGTTGCTTGTGTATACACTCATACCACTTTTACTTATGGCAGGGACATAGTCCATATGCTGTTGGACTCCAGCTTTGATTAGCCCACCTAGCATGGCCAGTGGTCAGGGGTGATGAGAGTTGTAGTCCAGTGGGACATGGTGGCACTGTGGTATAAACCACTGAGCCTCTTGGGCTTGCTGATCAGAAGGTCGGCGTTCGAATCACCGCAACAGAGTGAGCTCCCATTGCTCTGTCCCAGCTTCTGCCAACCTAGCAGTTCAAAAGCATGCCAGTGCAAGTAGATAAATAGGTACTGCTATGGCATTTCCATGTGCTCTGGCTTCTGTCACAGTGTTCTGTTGCACCAGTAGCAGTTTAGTCATGTTGGCCACATGACTGGAAAGCTGTCTGTGGACAAACGCCGGCTCCATCGGCCTTAAAGCGAGACGAGCGCCGCAACCTCATAGTCACCTTTGACTGGACTTAACCGTCCAGGGGTCCTTTACCTTTTTTTTTTAAGTCCAGCAACATCTGGAGGGGGGCTGATTTCCCCATTCCTGGCTTGTGGTAAGTGAGTTTTGCAAAACCTGTTGGATCAGAGACAGCAGTGGGACAAAAAAATACAATCCACCATGTATACCACAGGAAATGATATTTCTCTCAAACCACTTTCAACACTCTTAAATAATATTGTCCATGTCTAGCCTTTGTTTCTACCTTAGACAGAAAAAGGCAACTCCTATAGTACTTTCCTTATGGAAATCCAGCTCTTTTTCACTTACCAATTCATCAAGATGACTCTGAAGATTCTCACTGACAAGGATAACTGTCTTGATTTTGAGTGTATCCCTGTTACACTTGACATGCTCAGTTTCAACCTCCCATCTAGAGATATTCCAGCTGAATCTTTTTCAAGCCAGCCATGTTTCCACAGGTTACACCCCAGTGCCCCCCCAAAAAAATCTAAGTCAGAGACAGTGGATAACATTGCATGACCCTCTCTGCTCTTCTGATCATCACCTGAAAAGCATAGAGGACTCAGTTTTCTTCTTCCTTGGAGTACTGGGTTGGGCACAGAGAAGTAAACCTCTTTGCCCAGCTCAGCACTGCAATGGTGAGTAAAATATACATGCACACTGCAAGGATCAGCTGAGGAGTGGAGACGGGGCTCTTTGCATGTTTGTGTAAGAATGTGGGATGTCTATACACAGTTTTGGGCCACAGTCACTATAGACATGTGGCCCCCAGGGGGGTTGCAATGGGGCAGTGTAGCCGCCAGAGTAAAAAAGTTAGCCTCCCCAGTGTAGAATCCTCTCAGAGTTAAAAGCAATTTAGAAACATGGCATAAAAGCTATTTTAAGGGAAAGTGCCTTCAGATCCATGTATCTGCTGGTTTTGCTTGTCTGTTTCTTAATGCAGGCGTCACCCCAAAATGTTTCTTTAACTGTTGGGGAATTTTTAAATAAAGCTCGCCTGCATGGTACTGAGCTGCATGACAGGGAACTGCTGTGTGTTTGTTTCCTCCCCGCCACTGCAGAAGTGACCGCAACACCTTGCAATATGAACACCCAGTGCCCAGATGGAGGCTACTGTATGGAGTACGGTGGCAATTACCTTTGTGTGTGCCATACGGATTACGGCACAAACCACAGTAAGTAGGATAGGGAGTCTGGGCACATCAAAATGGGCTTTGAATCTGAGGATCAAGGTGGTGGGAGAATGCCCAGTATTGCATACCAGAGAAACTAATCCAGAACCCACTCGGAGTTGTGAATACTAGGTAGGGTCCATACCCTGCAACGTAAATGAAGCAGTTTCTTTGAATGCAATAAAGACTTGGGAAGGTGCAATGCAGTTGATAGAATGTTAGTTCTGAATGCCGTGGTGAAGCTGCATGTGAGAAGGGGATGCATGAGCAATTCATATCTTCTTCTGTTACCTCTTACTCTCCACATGCAAATCAGATCCAGGTTGAAGTCCCTGAGCAAATCGTTCCTTCCCTGGTAAATGAGATAAGACTGGGCAATCTCTTTGGGCCAAACTGCACATAAAAGTAACTGCGTCTGCACTGGATACAGGGATTGATCATTATTGGAATCGCAGCATGTATGCATGAGAAACTCACCACCACCACCACCCGTCCCCCGGCAGTCCCAAGGAAAATCCCTCCTCTGAAAATGGTATTTGCATTGGCAAGAAATCCCCCCATTGGTGTCAGTAGGAGATTTCTTTCCAAAGTAAGTATTTGCTTCAGAGGAGAGATGATCTTCAGGACTGCAAGCAGGGGCTAAGTTTCCCTTCCATGCCTTCTGCAGTTCTTATAATAATCAGCCCCACCCTTCTCATGCTAGTTGTGTTTTTAAAAGCCTGCAGCACGTTTAACATCAAGTTTAGTTTGTATCCTGAAAAGTGCTGTAAGCATGTTCTTTTTTTATTACAGAGATTGTGTAGCTTGTTTGTTTGTAGCTTGTTTTCAGGCACTAGGAAGATCCCCATAAATAAATATCCTAAGAAACAAGGAGTTGTGGGCTAGAGGACCCCTGGGCTTATTAATTCAAAGATGTGTGTCCTTTTTTCCATGTCATTTAATTGAGCTCCTTTCCGTGGGGCAGGTGGGGTTTTTATTTAGCATCAGCCCATGTGAGGCCATGTCTGCTTTTGCAGCTGAGCCACCCTCTCCTTGTGACTCGGATCCTTGTCTGAATGGCGGATCATGTGAAGCTCAAGATGACTCCTACACCTGTGAATGTACCCGAGGCTTCGTCGGCAGGCACTGTGAGAAAGGTATTTGCCAACCCTGAATGGAAGAACAGAAGCTGCCTTTCCAAATCCTACTTTGATGCTATAAATAAGACACACTATCATTTTCTTCCTAGTGCAGGGTGATGGAATTGACTGCAGGTAATGTTCTTCCCCTCCTTTTCTCTCCCGTGGCTGGTCCAGGGCATGGTTCTCTCTCAGGTCAAAAAGACATTGTGAGAAGCCAAGACAAACAAAAAACCAAAAACCTTCAGGTTTTACTAAAATGTATTCTTCTACACAATAACAGCAATGCAGTAAAACAGGGTTTCCAAACCTGGGTCTCCAGCTGTTTTTGGACTACAATTCCCATCATTCCTGACCCCAAGTCCTGCTAGCTAAGGATGATGGGAGTTGTAGTCCAAAAACAGCTGGAGATGCAAGTTTGGGAAACCTTGCAGTAAAACAATTCTGAACACGGTAAAAAATAGAAATGGATATAGCTTAATAGCCTGGTGCCGACAAACTAGCACTTCCAGTTGCCAAACATTCGGAAAAAACAGCTTCTAAACACCAAAATTATATTCAGCATACATTGTAAGGCAGAAAAAATGACATAGCAATCTATTGCAAATAAACACCACTTTCAGTTGCTGTTAGTCTGTTCCAGTTGAGCAACACTTTTAGTTGACTTAACTGTGAGACCGAGCAATGGTGATGTGCAAAACTTAAGCTGATGCAGACATCAGGACTCCTGCTTTGGAAGCAAATTCAATAAAAATTAATTACGCTTTATGTGGAAGTGCTTTTATTTTGCCTGCCGTGGATCTGCTGCCGGTCCTATTTCATTGGATTGGTCAGGGAAGGTGTCAGGGACACAGTTTAACCTGGCAAAAGGGCTAGAGGGTCATTGAGTGGAACTCCTCCTTCCACCTGTCTTTTAAAGGGGCTTGTAACAAGTACGGATGCTTTTTCCCCTTCCCAGCAAAACCAAAGCTGTGCAGTTCTGGGCCCTGCCGCAATGGAGGGACGTGTAAAGAATCGGATGGAGAATACCACTGCACCTGTCCTTACCGCTTCACGGGGAAGCACTGTGAGATAGGTATCTTCACTGCATGTTCTGCCGCAATTTTAGCCGAGGGGATGGGGACGTAAAGGGACTTCTTGGGAGGTGTTAAGGAATTGTTTGCTATGTAACCTGGACCTTCTGTTTTCACAGGCAAGCCTGACCCCTGTGCCTCAGGGCCTTGTCATAATGGGGGGACCTGTTTCCACTATATCGGCAAGTACAAATGTGACTGCCTCCCAGGATATTCCGGGCGACACTGTGAGATAGGTATTAGTGTATTATTTATTTCATTTATGAATCGCTTCCCATGAAGCATTTGCAATTTTGAAATATATATTTGTGAAACAGTTGCACACACATTTTAAAGCAACTGTAGCAGCACATCCCACATGGATGTTAACTGGGTTCGAGATCTCCATTTTGGAGGTATATTGAAAGAGGAACACCAATAAAAAATTGAGAAGGGGGGAGTTCCAAATGTAGTTATGGGATTGGAGGGGTCTTCCACATGTGAGCAGCACATGTGAAAGAAAAGGCCTGCCCTTTGGGCAATGACTAAGCCAGAGGCCTATTGACATTAGGCAGCAGGTATGGTTTCTCTCCCCAGAGGGTAAAGCCATCAGACGGGGTCTCCTTTTGGCAACCTAAAGGAGTTAAGAACATAAGAAGAGCCTGCTGGATTAGGCCGATCAGCTTCTTCATCTCACAGTAGCCAACCAGATGCCTATAGGAAGCACACAGGCCGAACCTGAGCACAACTCATAATGGCTAGTAGCCATCCAGCCCACTTTCAGGAGACTGCAACACTATTGTTTTCTTTATTTATTTCATAAAACGTATACACCGTTTGGTTGTGAAATCTCAGAGTGGTTACAAAAGATATAGCAGCAAAGTCAATAAAAGTTCAGAACCCTACTTTCAAAACATACAAAAGTTAAAATATTAAAACAGATTAAGAGTACCTCAACTTTCTGAGCATCTGGGTAGGCTTGTCTGAACAAGAATGCTTTATGCAGGTGCTGGAAGAGTACAATGAAGGAGCCTGCTTGATCTCGATAGGCTGGGGTCAGGATGTTGAATCTCCAAGGAGTTAGAATTTACTGAAATCCCTATTTAGAAATACTCAACTAAATGAATGAATGAATGAATGAATGAATGTATTGTTTATATTGCAGATTTGAGCAAAGTGTTGAAGATTTGATTGCTTTCCATTGTAGAGGTAAAAAGTAAGCTTGATGCCAGGCATGATATGAAATTAGGAGCTAGATTTATCCTGAACAGCAATCAGAAGTACTGATCAGTGGTCTAGGCTGAACCATAGCTGGATGCTCAGAACATAGTTGCTTGGGTGGCATAGCTACAGGTTGTGATAATTTTGTGCCTTGCAGCTAAGTCACTGAACTTCTAAAAACTAATCATAAGCACAGTGGAATGGGCGATTTCCATTGATTCTACAGTTCTTTAGGAGAGGAGGTTTAATCTTCTCCTTCCCTTCTGTGATCCCAATAGAAATCCCCTCTCCCTATGCTGCCTTTAGTGATAGGGGGTCGACAACTTCCATTGTCACCAAAAGGAGCTTCCACCCTCCATTGGTACCAATAGAAGTTTCCCCACTCCATTACTAACTGGAGCATGGGGGATTATTTTCACTGGAATAGCAGCTGGTGAGGGAAGAATTAAATCTCCCCTCCTCATATGCTGCAGTCCTGGAGGAAATCCAAAATTCAAAATTCCAACATTGATGCAAGCCGAGCAGTTAGTGTAACACATAGTTAAGTCTCTGGTGTTGGCGGTGTAAAATATCCTGCAGTGTGACTGCATTACTAGGATTAGAAATCATTTGTGTTACTGTCACATGTTGTTTCATTTTTTAAAGGTGCTTTTGTAAGCTGTGTTTGGAATACTAAATGGAACAATTTTGTATTGGTGGGCTGGGCTCTGCTTTCACAGCTCCTTCTCCTTGCCTCCTGCATCCATGTGAAAACGGAGCCACTTGTCAGGATCTTGGCAACAGCTATTTGTGCACATGCCCAGCTGGCTACACAGGAAGGCACTGCCAATCAGGTAAACGCTTAGAAAGGCAATGCCCCATAGTCAGCTGTGATATGTCATCTGCCCTAGTACAATGGGCCATGCCGACATTTTCAATTCTTTTAAAAAGCAAAACCATTCAGCTAATGTTCTGGACTGCTTCTGGAGGTTTTTGGAAGTTCTGTCTGAAAATTTCAGCTTCTGTGAAATTTGTGTAAGGCAGTGTCTGCGTAAGGCAGGTTGGAACTTGCAGCTCAGATCCATGCTAATTATTTGCAGGACCACAAACTGCATTTGGGAGCTAAGAGCAGTGTCTCTTGGAACAAATGATGCTAACCACTGAAGGCTTGCCCTGGCGACATTAATTTTAGAGGCTGGCATCGCAATTTTTGCTTCTCTGATCAAGGCAGGCCACAGCATGAGAACTTTTTTAACGTAACTCAGCAAATCGCTCACACAAAAGGTTCTGTGTGAAGAACTAGGCCTTCACTATCCCCAGTGCTCTCATCAGGGCAGAGCCCTTATTTACATCAGTGTTAATTGTGCAGCTCATAGACTACCGTATTTTTCGCCCCATAGGATGCACCGGCCCATAGGACGCACCTAGTTTTTTGGGGGGGAAATAAAGAAAAAAAATTATTCCCCCCCCCAGGTGCGGGGCTGGGGCGGGGCTTCCCCTGAGCTTCCCCCGACCCCAGCCCCCAGAACAGGCTGCTATCCGCTAGCCGTGGGAGAGCCATGTGACTTCCCGCGGCTCTACCACGGCTAGCTGAGCGCTGCACGAAGCCCGAAGCTTGGGGCGTGCTGAGCTCAGCGCGCCCCAAGCTTCTGGGTGCCGGCAAGGTCTCCGCTAGCCGTGGGAGAGCCGCGCGACTTCCCGCAGCTCTCCCACGGCTAGCGGAGCGCTGCACGAAGCCCGAAGCTTGGGGCATGCTGAGCTGCGTTCTCCCATGGCTAGCGGATAGCTTCCTGAAGCCTGGAGAGCGAAAGGGGTCGGTGCGCACTGACCCCCCTTGCTCTCCAGGCTTTAGCGAAAGCCTGCATTCGCCCCATAGGACGCACACACATTTCCCCTTCATTTTTGGAGGGGAAAAGGTGCGTCCTATAGGGCGAAAAATACAGTACAGTGGTGCCCCGCAAGACGAACGCCTCGCAAGATGGAAAACCCGCTAGACGAAAGGGTTTTCCGTTTTGGAGGTGCTTCGCAAAACGAATTTCCCTATGGGCTTCCTTCGCAAGACGAAAGCCCATAGGGAAATCTCCGGGACAGCGGGAAAGCGCAGCGCGTCTTCCCCACTGTCCTCAGACCTCCTCCAAAGGCTGGCGGCGGGGCGGAGAGACCTCCTCCCGCCACCAGCCTTCGTTTCTCCGCTATTTTGAAGGCAGGCGGGGGGGGAGCAAAGACTTTCGCCCCCCGCCGGCCTTCAGAAGAGGTCCAGGACCTCTTCTGAAGGCGGGTGGGGGGCGAAAGTCTATGCTCCCCCCTGCCTACCTTCCCGGGAGAGCGGAGAAACGCAGCGTGTTTCTCCGCTGTCCCGGACGGCTTTTGAAGGCAGGCGGGGGGAGCATAGACTTTCGCACCCTGCCCGTCTTCAGAAGAGCCCTTGGTCCCCCCCCCCCAGCCTTCAGAAGAGGTCGGGGGACAGACTGTCCCCGGACCTGGTCTGAAGTCGGTTTCCATAGGAACGCATTAATTGATTTTCAATGCATTCCTATGGGAAGCCGTGCTTCGCAAGAAGAAAAACTCGCAAGAAGAAAAAACTTGCGGAACGAATTAATTTCGTCTTGCGAGGCACCACTGTATATAACAAATGCATTGCTCTATAACCTTTCTTCTTCCACCCATCCCCCACTCTTTCTTTTCCTTATAGAGGTAGACTGTGGTACCCCCAAGGAGGTGAAGCATGCCCAGGTGGCATTTAACTCCACTAAGCTGGGCTCTCTGGCAGAATACCAGTGTGATCTGGGTTATGTTCTCAGTCCCCAGAATAACCCCAGAGTATGCAGAACACAAGGCGTCTGGAGTGACCCTCCAGAGTGTAACGGTAACTTGATTTTGTGTTTGAGTGAGTGAGTGAGTGAGTGAGTGAGTGAGAGATCAGGTCCTTCTCAACTTCAAGCAACAGTTTCTGGTGACTTTAATATTTCATCAGAACTATAGTACTGTAGGGACGCGGGTGGCGCTGTGGGTTAAACCTAGAGCCTAGAACTTGCTGATCAGAAGGTCGGCAGTTCGAATCCCCGCGGCGGGGTGAGCTCCTGTTGCTCGGTCCCTGCTCCTGCCAACCTAGCAGTTCGAAAGCACGTCAAAGTGCAAGTAGATAAATAGATACCGCTCTGGCGGGAAGGTAAACGGCGTTTCCGTGTGCTGCTCTGGTTTGCCAGAAGCGGCTTAGTCATGCTGGCCACATGACCTGGAAGCTGTACGCCGGCTCCCTCAGCCAGTAAAGCGAGATGAGCGCCGCAACCCCAGAGTTGGCCACGACTGGACCTAATGGTCAGGGGTCCCTTTACCTTTTATAGTACTGTACTCTTCAGTGTCTGATACCTGCCTATTGTTCTTGTGAGAAGACAAAGTGGAACCAGACCAGTGCCAGTTTTGGTTCCTGTGATTATTCTGGAGTTCTAGCGTTCTTGTGTATCTTGGAAGTCTGGGACATGTAGTTGATAAAAGGAGAGAGGAAATCCTCTTGGGGAAACCATAGCACTTCTCAAGCTTAAGGAAACGATTATCCAGATAAGCCATTATAAAAGAACAATAGGTGCAAGCTGGGCAAAGCTGACATACCCCATACTGTGAAAGGGAAGCAACCCCTCTTGACCAGCAGCTAACGGGCAGCATGTTGCCCCTGCCTAGTGGTGCTTACTGTGTGACTAGATTTGTGTTTGCACCTCTGGTTCCTGTTATCCCCGGTTCCCATGCTGCAGTGGGAGGGGTTGTTTCTAACATGCACCTTTCCTAATGTGTAGGCTGCTCCAATCCACATGCCCTGGTACATAAGGGTGGGGTGGGTGTGTCTGTGTCTCTTTCGGGGCTTTTATGGTCTTCCATTACAGCTAGATAGTCATCTCTCCCCTCTCTGTTACAGAAATTGATGAATGCAGATCTCAGCCGTGTCTGAACGGAGGCTTGTGTAAAGATCGAATTGCCACTTTCCTGTGCTTGTGCAAAACTGGCTATACAGGACACCACTGTGAGTTGGGTAAGAGAATGTGCAAGTATGTGTGCCAGAAAGTCGCATGACGTTGTTGCCCATAGCACCATATCGGTGCTATGTCAGGGCGTACCATCAGTGTTACCATAAGACCCATTGAGAAAGTCCTGACCCTGAGGGACTTAACATCCAGCCATTTCTGAGCCAGGATTATTTCCTAGGAGACTTGCTGCGGCCCAGAGATTCAGCAGCAAAGTTGCAGCTGGAACACCTGAAGGCTGGGGTGGCTTCTAATGCTTTTGCTCTCCCAGCACTTCCTGCATCTGCCACTGGCACTAGATCCTGTGAGAGTCATAAGCAGCAGCAGCAGCAGCTTAAGAAACCCAGTGAGGGACTAACATCTGGTTGTTTCAACAATCCATCCCAGACCAGGAGCTCCAGCTGCAGAGTGGCATTTGTCGAAACACTGGAGAACTGGGACGTGTGTGTGTGCACCATTGTACTGTTGTGTGTTCAATGTTTTTAAATAAGAACTTTGGTTAGGGAGGCCGGGTATACATACACCTAAAATAAAAATGTATAATTCTTTTTAGAGGACTGTGGTTTTCAGAGTAATGTAGCTTTTGGTTCTATTTATTATTTAATTATTTCCAATATTTATATACTACCTAATGACAAAGTCCTCTGGGCGGTTAACAAAAATACAATAGGAGACAGGATAAAATCAGCAACAGAGAATGGCATCCAGCAGAACAAATAGAAAAAGCAGCCAAAGAAATATTTATGACTGAAAATTTCAAATTCAGAAAGGACCTTCAGGAAGATTTTAGCAAAGGACCTGCCTTTCTGTATTAAGGTTCAGCCACCTGCAGAATGGGAATGCTAAAAGACAAGAAGAGTTTTGCTGCATCAGGCCTAAAGTCCATTTAGTCCAGTATCCTCTTCCCACAGTGTCTATCCAGGTGTTTTTGGGAGTCCCGCAAGGAGGACCTGAGTGCAACGGCACTGTTCCCACCTCTGAATCCTAGCAACAGGCATGCAGAGGTATAATGCCTCTGACAGTGGAGGCAAATCCTTTATTGAGATGGTCTTGGTATAGCAGCTATAGTATAAGGAGGCATTATCAACAGCAAGCTTTGCCTTCCTCCTGACAGCAGTGAAAAGATTTAGATGTGCAGTTCCAGGTGGGAGGCCCACTTTGGGCTAGGGATGAGAGAATGTGGAGATGGGAGAAAAGGGCAAAAGCAGAAGTGATAGACAGAGTCCAAAGGAAAATGAATAACCTTTACTGGGTGAATATTTGGTGAAGGCCAGTGGATGAAGTCTGATCCTGCCCATATGTTAATGTCAGTTTTATGTAGAGATCTGTCATTATAAATTAATAGAAAGGCTTTCTGGAACCCCATGGCCATTTGAACTAGAACACAGAGACTTAATAGCTTTCTGAACTTTTTCACAGCCTGTGCTAGTTATTTCTGCTGCCGCCAGATTTATACTGATTTATTATCTCTGCTTTTAATATCTACCTTTTAATATTTAATAATTTATGTATTTTCCCGTTGCTACCTGTTTTGATGTTTCTTACGGTTTTTACACGTAGCCTAAAACACTTCAGTAAACTGGGGGGCAGGTTTGAAGTAAAATTTAAAACCCAATGCATTTGTGAGATGCAGTTTTTGTTGCACTGCATAAGGAGAGTTATATTTCTCAGTATTAATTTGCCAGAACAGGCTGTGCACCACCTCCTAAGTTAACCCACCAGTAGTATTTCTTCTATCTTGCCTGGATTGAGATTGTGTGTATTGGCTGCCATCCAGCCAATTATGGTTGTGTGAGTAATGTGAATGAATGGGTGTGCATCATAGTATATAGGGGAGTGGATGCAGGGGATGCTGATGAAGGGTTGATGGTAGTCCACTTAGGTTGCTGGTTTGTTGAGGTAGTTGTTATAAGTGTTGTGGCGGCCCAGTTGAATGCATAGAGGTCTTGGTCATGATGGTGAGCACCAGGAAACTAAGGCTACTTAAAGTTTAGCAGGACTGCAGTTCAGATAAACTGTGCCAATTAGGCTCCTACTCTGTGTGCTCTCTACATAAATCTGAGTGCTTTTAAAGCTGCGTACACACTATATAGTGTACTGGACTATGCTGGATTTCGTCAGCAATGTTGGCCCTTGTGGAAAGATAACCACCTAGGTAGGAGAAGTGATTGACATTTTTCAACGTTACACCATCAAGTTGGATTTGTGGCGCTGCAGAGGGGTTATTTTGTACTTGTTGGTGCAGCACTTTGGTTTTTTGGATGTTGAGTGATAGGCCAAGCTTTTCATAAGCTTCTGCAAAGATATTTAGGATGGTTTGGAGGTCATCCTCTGAGCATGCGCACACTACATTGTCATCAGCATACTGAAGCTCTATGACGGAAGTTACGGTAACCTTACTCTTTGCTTTCAGCCTGCTCAGATTGAAGAGCTTTCCATCTGTTTGATATATGATTTCTACTCCGATGGGGAGTTTTCTTTTGACAAAGTGTAGGATCATTGCAATGAAAAGAATGAATAACACAACCCTGTCTAACACCAGATCCCACTGTGAATGGTTCACTTTGAGAGCCATTGTTATCTGCAATTGTTTGTGTCATATTATCATGGAGCAGCTTAATGATGTTTACAAATTTATCTGGGCAGCCAATTTGCAGAAGGACAGTCCACAGGGCATTACGATATACAGTGTCAAAAGCCTTAGGTCAATAAATGCCATATACAGGGGTTGGTTTTGCTCTCTGCATTTTTCTTGAAGCTGTCAAGCTGTGAAAATCATGTCCACTGTCCCCCTAGAAGTCCGAAAACCATTTTGGGATTCAGGAAGGGTCACCTCGGATATTGTTAAGAGACAGTTTGCTAAGATCCTTGCAAGAATTTTGCCAGCTGCAGCTAATAGAGAGATGCCTCAAGAGTTTCCGCAATCTGTTCTGTCACCTTTTTAAAAAGAGATTGATAATTTTGGGATCCCTAAAGTCTTCTGGGATCTCTTCTCTTTCCCAGATTTTTTCGATGAGCTTGTGAAGTTGTTGTGTAAGTTCAATTCCGCCCACTTTGAAGATCTCAGCAGGTATCCCATCAGGTCCCCTGACTTTGTTGTTTTTCATTTGGTTAATAATCACCTATCTTCCAATAAGCTGGAAAGGGATAACATAAAACAAAACGATGCTTTTTAAAAAGCCACATTGACCGATTGTGGGGAAAATAACAATGTCATTGAAATACCCAAGTCATCTTCTTGAGATGTGGTATAAAAAGGCCCATCTTGCTAGAAACCGTGCCTTAAAATATGGGGAGGGGGGAATAAACTTTATTATGTAACAATATTTCAATTGTGTTGCTTAATAACATCGCCTTGTTTCTCTGTGGAACGACTTTGTGACTGGGAGGGGAAATTGGCAAAAGCAAGCTTTGGATGATCAGTGATCTCCTTCATGAGAATGTTTTCTTTAAACTTGCTGAACTGAGTAACAGGGGAAGACTGCATAACTTCCCATTATATTCATATTTTCAGATAGGAAAAATTCTGTTTTCAGGTATGAGAAATGAAGACACAAAACCAAGCCCAAGCCCTTAATACAGTTGACATAGAAAGCCCTGCCTTCTGACAGGAATGGAAGGAATGGCATGGAACACACCTACTTGCTTATTAAAGAATGGAGTAACACAGGCTTGAAGAAATGCTATTGTCTATTAATGAGGAGGAGGGGGGTGCAATATAAAAACAGCCAGTTGGTTCACTAACCAATTTTTTATAATGTAGTAGTTATTAATTTTCTTTATTCATATAATACATTCCTATCAATTCTAAAGTACTTTTTAACTTGCATAATGCTTCATTTACAAACTCTTATTTGTGCTTGCAAACAGGATGTGAGATGTGAGGTTTATTATTCTCTATAGCCTTTGGAAATCCCCTTCCTAAGGTCAATTATTAGTGCTAATGTGCTCTTAAATATGACGTTCATTTCTTAGGACGCAGTGTTAGGAGCTCTGGGTGTCCCTTTCTCTTTTTCCATCCCCACCTAAAAGCTGCTTTATGCAGAGGTGCTACCTTTGTAGGGTTTCTTCCCAGCAACAATAAAATAGCCTCTTACCCTGGTGTCAGGGACCTTTTGGTGAATCCTGTGTGCTGTTACCAGGCAAGACTATATCTGTTAATGAAGTGGTAATTGTAAAGCATCATTTGGTGAAGTACCGTATTTTTCCGTGTATAAGACGCCCCTATGTGGGACTCCAAATTAAGAAAACACCCCTCAGCACTACCCGTGTATAAGACGAGCCCCAATTTTAAACCTACTTTTTTGGTTTTTTAAAAAAACACCTAGTCTTATACACAGAAAAATACAGTAATTGCTGTATAAATGTTTGACATCAAACCTCCCTGCAACCCCATTGCTCTTTGCAAAAATAAATATTAATTAATGTACTGTAAACAACACTTACACCATCAGATAGCTACAACTGCCAAGAGTTAAAATTATCTTGCTTCTCCCCTCTTCCTGCCCCACTATTTTTGCAGAATTAAAACTGTTTTGCCACAACAGAGTTTAAGACGAGGAAGAAAAACATAAAGTTCTCCACTTTCTACCCCATTACTGCTGGTTTTCTACCTTTGATAGTGTTGTTGTGCTGATGAAGTCCCTGTACTGCTCCCCCTCTCCCTTCTGCATTCTCTACAGAGATTGATGAATGCCTGTCTGATCCATGCAAGAATGGTGGGACCTGCACAGATCGACCAGGATCCTTTGCCTGTCATTGTCCTGAGGGTTTCATTGGAACTCAGTGTGAAACGGGTAAATAGTCTGTTGACCCTTCTTGGAACTTCTATCACTACTTCCCACTGGAATCTCCCAAATATCCTTAAGCTGCTCCATCTGTTCCGCTGGTACTAACATATCCCACTTTCTTTTAGCATAAATTTCTTAATATTGGTAACAGTTCAAAGGTTCTAAGGCAAAGCCATAGAAAGAGGTTATTCTTGGAAAACCTGAGTTATTTTCTTTAACCAATTCAGCTGCCATAGGCTATGTGAGCCTCACAGCCTATGTGGACATAACAGTAGTCGTACGGAAGTTAACATTGCTCTAACCCATAGAAAATGCTATTTAAAGACCTTTCTAACTCAGAAGGTTTCAGATGGCATGGTGTCATGCACTAGCAGGCTAATACACATTATCAACTTTAAAAAATAGCAAGGTTGTTCTTTTCCTCAATTCAGACCAAAGCTGGCTTGCGGGGGAATCATCCAAATTCTGCATTTCATTATAGAATAGATACAGGATAGATATGGATTGTGGCTAATGTTGTAGATAGGAGTGTGTACGCAGCCAAGGTCTCCCCGTGGAAGCAACTCATCTGTAGTGAGTGGCTATGGTCTAATAAGCGGTCATAGCTGTCAACTTACAGATTTGAAAATAAGGGACCAGCAGCCTCAAAAATAAGGGATCAGCAGCCAAAATAAGGGATTTTAGTCAACCAGCAGCCAAACGAAGCCCACAGTGCAGCAACCCAGCAAAGGGAATATAGCAAGGAAAACCACCATCACCTCTCCGCTAGGAAGCACTGAGCAAAGGCGAGTCCCCAGGCAATGCAGCCGATTTGATCGGCACAAGGCATGCAAGCTCCACCCCCCAGTCGTTCTTAGACTCCTTATTGGGTGAGCAACGCAGCCAAGCAACACAGTTGGAGCCTCCCTCCTCCCTGGCCGGCAGGGAGGGAGGGAGAGGATCTGCCTCCTTTGAAACCCAGGAAATTTAAGGGACATCATCAATCCGGGACAGCAGCGGGAAACAGCGCTGGGATAAGGGAGTTTCCCGCCAAATAAGGGACGGTTGACAGCTATGTAAGCGGTATGCAAAATCTTGAACAGGAAATTCTGTAACTCAGAAGTAAATGGTTTGGTCTGCATGTAAGCAACAATTAGACAGGCTTAAGGAAACATGCCACCATCTATCATGAATTTCATCCGCTGATTTCATGTTTACCAGGGAGATTAATATACTGTGCAGATGGATGGCCCCAGGGAGGGTTTTCACGTGAGCTAATGCACTGTACTACAGCAGGCATCTTTGCAAGGGATTCTCCACCAGATGCAGAGTCATCCTCTTAATTCCATGTGACACCTCCTACAGATATCTGAGTGAGTGTATTTATGCCCTCCAGAAGTGGATGCCTGTGAATCAAACCCTTGTCGGAACGGAGGAGATTGCGAAAATTACAGTGGCTCCTACCTGTGTGTCTGCCCAGAGGGCTTCTTTGGCTACCATTGTGAAATAGGTAAGCTGATATAGAATGGGAGCACACGTAGTACATGCAAAGGTTCTTAGTAGCCTTTTAGGAAAGGTAGATGCAGTAAAAAAAAAAAAAGATCAGTATTTAGTCTGATCCTCTCCTGACATACTTTCCTAAGAGAGCCTGCACTGTCTTGAAGAACCACTCTTCTAAACTGTTCGTTTTGCACTTCTTCCCCAGCTAGTGACCCCTGTTTCTCCAACCCCTGTGGGAGCAGAGGCTACTGCCTGCCCAGTAACGGATCTCACATCTGTACCTGCAAAGTGGGCTATACCGGCAACAACTGTGAGAAAGGTAAAAAAGCCATTTCCATAGTTGTCTGAAATAGAGTCATTGCTAACCATGCTGATCCCAGAAAATGGTAGACATATAGCAGGCAATAAAATCCTTTTAAAATAGGTTGGGTTTTTTAATTGAGTTTTTCAAAACGAATAACATCATTTTTTATATTTTACAAATAACAGTAGTAAACTACAAAAGAAAAGGAAGAAAAACACAACATTCAAACAGGCATTGTATTTTACAAAACACAAAGCAAACCTATTCAGATGGTGATTAAAATCAGCATCGGCTTAAAAGAACTAAAACACATGCAACATCTATATGTCTAAACATGCAGCTTCTATTTTTTCTAAACAAATTTTTTTTCATCAGGCACCAGAAAGAAAAGAATAAAGTGAAGGTGCCTGCCAGATGTCAATAGTCAGGGATTTCTAAAGTGTAGTAGGTGATGCCACATGAAAAGACCAATTTCTTACAAATGCAGAACAAGTATAACATGGCACCTTAACACTGCCAGTTTCACAGATCAAATCAGCTGAATGGCCATATATGGTGTAAACTGGTCCCAAGCTGTGAAGGATTTCATATATGTTTGTTGAACTGAAACCAGAAGAGAATATCATTCAAGGATCCAGTGCTAGATCTTAAGAGTCAAATGAGTAAATTAATGGGAGCCAAGGGCCCACAGAACCTTGCTGTAGCGTTACTACCCAGTATGAATGCTTTTCAAGAACTTGTTCCCGCTGTGGCAAAGTAGATGAGCACATTCCCATCTGTTGTGCTCATAATGCACTATGTGATATGCATTCTCTTTGCAGATCTGCATACTCAGTATCCCCTCGAAAAAGTTATGAAAGTTAATGCAGTTCAGAAATCCATATTTGAAACACAGCATGTTTAACACTAGCATTCTGCCAGTCTTACCTTAAAATATTAAGTTTATATTAATCGTAAACTATGCATTCCCCAACCTTGGGTCCCCAGGTATTATTGGACTTCAGTTCCCATCATCCTTGACCACGCTGGGTGGGAAAGATGGGGGTTGGAATCCAACAGCAACTGGAGACCCAAGATTGGGGAAGGCTGCCTTACCTGCTTCCTCTTGTATGAAAAATACGATAATGAGATGAGGGAGGGAGAGAATTCTGTTTGTTAACATGTATTATGCTTCTTTTTCTTTCGTTTGCATTGACACCCTGAAGAGCTGCTGCCACCAACGTCATTAAAGGTGGAAAAGGTGGAGGAGACAGGGCTGACAATCTCTTGGCGCCCTCCCATGGACCCGGCTGCCAAGCAAATGATTGATGGCTACGCCGTGACGTACGTATCCTTCGACGGCTCTTACCGCTGGACTGATTATGTGGACCGAAGCCGTGCTGCCCACCATTTGCGGGCACTAGCCTCCGGCAAAGCCTACAATATTTCTGTCTTTTCAGTCAAACGCAAATCGAACAACAAGAATGATATCAGCAGGCCCGTCATGCTCGTCACTCGTACTAGTGAGTAGCTCATTCAGCGGGATAGAGTGGTGGGTGCAGAAATGCCTGGCTCCAGCAGTGAGGCAACTGTGTTTGCAGGTCTCTTTCAGACCCATAGAGGCACACAGCACATTTCCCAAGCAATATGGAACAATAGAGCACAATGTCTTTTGTTTATAAGAGGAGTTTCTTCCCTACCAATCCAGTGTCATTGCTGTCGCATAACAAATTAAGATTATGTATTCAAAACACAAAAACATTGGCCTGCACCCATGAATTTCCACCCCCAGTACTTGTTCTCCTGCAGTGGCATCTATAGAAGTAAAAGTTGCTGTTAAAAAAAAAAATGTAGTGGAAGTTGCATCTCCGAAACAAAACAATTGCCACATCCCACACAATTGTCACTCGAGAAACATTTGTAGAAGAGCATCTTGTTTCTCAGTGTCTACTAATCCTTTAAGTATATTGATGTAATAGAGTCCAGAAGAGGCTAAATTGCTTGGATTTTGCTTTAGGTGCATAGCAAATATTTTAAAAGGAAGAAGGAGAAAAAAGCAAAGGGAAAAATGCAATATCCATTCCCATTAACATGAAGAATCCAACAATCCATTAAAAAGTTAAGAATGATGCATCAGACTTACTTAAACATATGCATTTATATAAGCCACTGAAATTGGTGTCCAAATGAGGTTGTTGATTATAAGATACATTCAGATGTCAAAATGGACATAAGATCTTCAGACTACTAATAAATGGTGGGTATTTGGGTTTTTCTAGTGCTTGCTCCTTGACAGCACTGTATGCCTAGCTTCCTTCACTAAAGGTCCTAAGCCATCAGTAGTGGTCTCTGAACTATATGTAATAGCTGACTTTTTTATTTATCTTTTTTAAGCATAGAATTTCTAAGAAAAGGGATAAAAAATATAGTGGAATCACAACAGTTGATAATTCCTGTATTTAACAGTGATGCTCGTTTGGAATGTATGTTTGCTCAAAGTGGAGTCCTGGCGGGCAAGGGAAATTCCATCTAATCAGAGAGTATGATTGAATTTCTTTTTTTGGTAGGGAAAACAGATGCCAACAAAATGACAAATGATCTTGGGGAAGATCTGCTTGCACTCTCTCTCTCTCCCCCCCTTTCAATTTTACTGAATCCCCCCCCCCACCAACGCCTCTCTAGACTTTAAAAATACATGCAAGGAGCATTCAGTAAAATTGCAATACAGCATATTGAAACCTGATGAAAGAAGAGGATTTTATGCTCTTATAACCTGCAACAAGATAATGATTAAAAGCAAAAGGAGAGGTGAAGCAGAAATTTTATATTAGGTAATGAGACTGCCCTGAGAGATGTTGCAAACAATAGACTTTTTTTCCTAGAGGAGGGAAAATATCTCTGCCTCAAGGGCATGAACTGATAAAGCCAGAAAGAAACCACCCTGAGGGTAGATTTATTGCATAACTGTTATTATTTTACTCTGAAATTGTTAGTGATGCTCACTGTTTCGAAAGGACCAGATAGACCATTGCACCAATCTCTTCTTCTATTGTGCTGTACATATTTCTTGTCAACCAGCTGAAGTTGGAGGCCTTTAATACAGAGCACACATTATGCTTAAAACCAGGCTTCCTCAACCTCGGCCCTCCAGATGTTTTTGGCCTACAACTTCCATGATCCCTAGCTAGCAGGACCAGTGGTCAGGGATGATGGGAATTATAGTCTCAAAACATCAGGAGGGCCGAGGTTGAGGAAGCCTGCTTAAAACCTCCTTACTGTAACGTGTATATCCCATGAACTGTTGAGGAGCTGAGAGTCTCCCATCATTCACCATCAGAGACTTTTGCTGCTTTGTAATCCTTTAAGAATTATATGGAAAAGGCTTCACTGGTAGTTGTCCATTGTCAGTTTAGCCTGTAACAATCCATTACTTTAGGCATTTCCATATGCAAGTGTAGTTTCTCCCCCATGTCAGTTATGCCACTTTGTCAACCTTAATGGGATGGGGATTGCACTGTTTCACATGATGGAACTAACAGGATTGGTTGAGTGACACTGACTGAATCCTGGTGCCCAGATAATTTATAGGAAACAGTGCTGCAGATTTGCCATTTGCATTCCTCTGTAGCCTTCTGTCTCTTTCTATAGCTTGTGAGATATTTGCATGCATATGATGTGTGTTACTCCCATACTAGTTAGCACCCTTTGCTTTTAACTTTCCTACTCACTTCTGCTTTAGTCCTACAGCATTAAATTGGCCACACAGGAAGCTGCCCATCTGGACGGAGCCTTAGTTCACAGATTTATACCATCGTGCTTTTTTTTAATGCTCTTGGGCAATCAGCTGGTAACACCACATCGGCAGATCTCAGTTTGACAAATCACTTAGCGTATTCACAGGAACATCTTGCTGTTACCAGTCAAGAACAAGCCAAACGCTGTACGTGGTTCATACATAGCAAGCCCTTCATCTCCCTCACCACTATGAGGTTATATGGAGCTTGTAAATAGAAGAAATCATGCTTTGAATACGTATGGTGGCAGTGTCTGCTGAGAGAGCCTACCTTGATGTTTGGGGCATTCTGTGGTTTCTATAAATTGTAGGTTTATCCTGGCTATGCTAATCCTCTGTGTGATTTGGCATTAAAGCTCTTTTAGGTAGGGATTAGCTATATTGGACTCTGCTGCATGGGAAGCATAACTCACCCTTCCTAGGCATTGCCATCCATGTGAGCTAAGGAGCTCAAGGTGGCATGCATGGTTCTCCTCCATTTAATACTCACAGCAACCCGGAGAAACTATGACTGGTCCAATATCAACTCTATGGTTCTATCACCTAGTGAGCTTTATGGCTAAGTAACCACTACGCAACACCAGCTTTACTAAGTGACTGTGCCATATGGTATCTTATGGGTGACCCTTGAATGCAAAGAAGGGTCCCATGAGGTTGCAAGATGCCATATCCTATACTCCCAGTAAGGGAGGGAGCCCTCTGCTGTCGAAGTCCTGCCAGAAAGCCCAGACTGACCCTTTTCTTCTGTAGGAAACTACTGAGATGAGAAGGAGGCCTCCAGCGGGGCGGGGCTCACCCACGAGGATCAAGTGAGTGTGTCACTGTCAAGTGGGGTGAGTCGTAACCGCCTCCTGCGTTTCCCCTCTCTCATCCTGCCAGGACCTCACCCAGTGGAGGGATTTGAAATTGCCAATGTGACTGCCACAACCATTACTGTGCAATGGGCTCTCCACAGGCTCAAGTACGCCACGGTCAGCAAGGTGCGTGTGTCCATACGGCAGCCGGATGATGTGGAGGATCGTGCTGTGGAGTTAAACAATACAGTGACAAAATACACATTCTGGTGAGCAAGAAGCAAGAGACTATCTGGGGGTGGAGGGAGGGAGGTGGTGGTGAATGAAAGTAGGTCAGGTGGTGGCTTGTTACTTGGTCAGTCAGTGGTGCTGGGAGGCAATGAAGAACATAAGAGGACCCTGCTGGATTTGGCCATTGGCCTATCTAGCCCAGCATCCTGTTCTCACAGTGGCCAACCAAATGCCTGTGGGAAACCCACAAGCAGGACTCAGTACACGAGCACTCTCCCTTCCCTTGGTTTTTAAGGCTTTATAGGTCAAAACCAGCACTTTGAATTGGGCCCAGAAACTAATCAGCAGCCCATGCAATCAAGCCAGGATTGGTGTTATAATGCTCAAACAGTCTTCCCTGCTGAGCAACCTGGCTGCTGAATTTTGCACCAGCTGAAGTTTCCAAACTATCTTCAGAAGCTGCCCCAGTGTGTTGTAGTAATCTAACCTAGAGGTTACCAGAGTATAGACAACAGAATAGGGGTGCAGCTGTGCTACCAAGCTGGTGGAGGGCACTCCGCACCACCAAGGCTACCTGATCCGCAAGCGACAGCAATGAATCCAGAAGTACCTCCAAGTTATATACCTGCTCCTTCAGAGGGTATGTAACCACATCAAGATCATGCCACCTCCCATCCATTTGGTCTAGGGAAATGCCCACTAACTGCCTCAGTCTTATCTGAATGAAGGCAAGACCACAGTCCAGCATATCCACATATACAGATGTAAGAAGTAGAGTTTTGTTTGACAATATACCGTACTTCAAAGCATCAGGTGACCCCACTCAACAATTTCATGTAGATGTTAAGCAGCATGGGGGATAAAATTGAACCCTGATGAACCCTCCATGGGGCTGAAGAGCACCCCCCAAATGTCATCCTCTGGAAATGATAGCCAAAGTAGAACCAGAACCACTGCAAAGTAGTGCCGCCAACTCAGGCAGCTGCTCCAGAAGGTTACCATGGTTGATGGTATTGAAAGCAACTGAGAGGTCAAGGAGAAATTAACAGGGACACCGTCTCTCTCTTGCCAGAGGTAATAATCAAAAAGGGTGACCAAGCAGTTTCTGTACCAAAACCAGGCCTAAACCCCAATTGAACTGGATCTAGAAAATCAGTTTCCTCCAAAAGTGCCTGGATCAGGTCTGTGACCACCTGCTCAATAACCTTAACCAAGAAAGGGAGAGTGGCAACTGGTCAGTAGTGACTTAAGATTTTACCACGGCCGCCTTCAAGCAGGCAGGGACCACCCCCTCTTGCAAGGAGGCGTTAATCACCTCTCTGGCCCAGGCAGCTGCTACTTTTTTATCAGCCAAGAGGGACAAGGGTCCAGAGTGCAAGTGGTCACCCTGGTGGATCCACACACCTCGTCCAGATCCTTGAGCCTTACCAAATGAAACACATGATTCACATTCAACACAAGACTAGACTGTACTCTGGACACCTCTTGAGATTCATCTGTTCTAACAGCGGAGTCAATTGATTTCCTCCTCAAAATGCTTTGCAAACAAGTCACAGTGAGCTACTGTCGGTTCTGCTACTTCCTTTGGGCCAGACTGTACTAACTGGAAAAGCTCTGCCAAATGGCATAGTGAGGATGCAGTGGAGGCAGCAATATATGGCTTCTTTGCTGCCTTCACTGCCACTGTTAGGCTAGATGATGAGCCCCCACCGGTGTTTTCTTCCACTCGCGTACAAGCCATCTCCCAGCTTGTTTCATTGCTCAAGGTATAACTTGAGACTCTTCAGTTAGAAAGAATTCGAGGCTCAGATGGGATGGAAGGAATTTGGAATTGACATTGCTTTCAGGTATTTGCTTCATGCATTCAACAGCTCTCTGTGTGCAGTAGATATTTGTTCACATTTCTATCTGAGTGGGTAGTTTATGCAAGTCTCTGACTCAGCAGCAGTCAATAAGCTTGTTCTTTGTTCCCAAATCATAGCATCTGACTGAGACTTACCCAGCGTATCTAATCTTCCAACAGGGACCTTCAGCCAGGGCAGAAGTATCTTATTCACATGTGGACCTTGAGTGGCCTCGGTGCAGAAGACCATCCCACTGAGAGCTTTGCTACTGCACCTGTCTACGTGTGGACACGTGAGTTTGATAGAAAATTCCCCGACTTGCTTCTTGCCTCCCCACCTTTATTGCCCACTAACCAACTTTTTTAAAGCACTTTTTCCCCTGTGGTGAATCGTACTTGGCCTGAGCATTAGGTTCAGAGTTGGAGCTCAAAATGCTTAAGGGAGAGTCAGGTACAAGAGTCCTATTTAACAACAAACTCCTATAAGGCTATGTACCATACTACTTTTCATTAATATATGTTCAGAATAACTGAAAAGCTCTTTTCCATGTGTGTATATGTCCATTTTATATTTAATATTGCACAACTGCAACTACCAAACTTTTTTTGCTAGATTTTTGAAGCGCTTTAAGGAGGTACCTGCTAAATTTGGAAACTTCCTTTTGCAAGTGCAACTAGCAGTTCTATGGTAGAGGTTCCCCCCCCCCTGCAGAGCTGTTACAGGCATCCTTTGGATAGTGCCTATGACAGTCCCTCCTTTGTGCCCATGTCTCTGAACAGTTTCTCTTTCTTCTCTGGGAACGTAATGCCTGTTTCCTGGTAGAATCCCAGTGGCCAAATAACAACTGAGCCACCCAGAGGCTTGCAGCAGGGTAAGAGGGCACCTTTGTTTAACCATTTGAGAAAGCATGGTGGAAAGAGAACAGTTTTGCCTCCAAGGGCTCCCTGCCCCTTGTTTCAACTGCCCAGCGGATGAGAAGAATAAAGGGCAATTGAAAGGAATTCCACATTGATCTTCCTCCTTCTCCCTGAACAGGACCTCTTCCTCCTAGAAACCTCACAGCATCCAGAGTCACAGCCACCTCTGTTCAGATGGTCTGGGAACAGCCCCTGGTTGGCACAGTGGAAGGTTACATCATCAATGTCACCACCAGTCAAAGTGTGAAGAGCCGCTACGTGCCCAATGGGAAGCTATCTTCCTACACAGTGCGTGACCTGAACCCAGGTCAAAGATATCGCTTATCAGTGATGGCTGTTCAAAACACAGATCAAGGACAAGTAACTAGCGAGCCTGCCCACCTGTACATTACGGCCTGTAAGTCCAGCTTCCCATTTCCTATGTTCATAGCTTTCTGCAAGCCTTTTGTTTCTTTTTTAATATGACATTATGTGGGCCCTAGCCTCTTAGGATGTCAGCATGTATATTCAACATATCATCATATCGAGAGAGAGACAGAGAGACAGAGAGAGAGAGAGAGAGAGAGAGAGAGAGAGAGATCCATCTACAGCAAAAGATAGTGTTGGCCCATAGTGATTCTCTGTGATGAGGAATTTTTGAAGCGAGAGCAGAGAATACCCATTTTACATGCTGCTGCCCTGGAGCAAGAATGAGCAAGAAACAATTAATTACAAAATTAGAAAGGTCCTCTTTAACACCCCCCTAGCTTTTGCTCTTTTTGAATTTAATACCTTGCAGATATTAAGAGAGCAAGTAAATTGTGGTTTTTCAACAACAAAATCAGCCGAGGAAGAGGGCTGAATCCAATTAGAATTGTGACCTTCAGAGGACTTTGTTGGTGTGGGGGCAGGGTCATTGAGAAATAAAACTACCACCACCACTGCACCAAAGCCTAGTCATAGCTACACATCCACTGCTGTAAATATTTTTTAAGGGAGTAGGAGATCCAGCTGGAGAGGGGCCTCCAAGGCAGATCTTATTATGTAGGCAGGTTCAATTGGAAAGAGGTAGTCCCTGAGGTACTTGGGTCCTAAGGCATTTAGGGCTTTATAGGTCAATAGAAATACCCTAAAATGTACCTGGAGAAGGAGTTGATGTAGCTGTATTAAAGCTGGCATGATTCACCCAGTCCCAGTAAAACATAATCTTCTCTGGTCTGCAGTGCAGAAGGATGGCACCCTAGAAAGGCGCTGGAGCCAAACAGGGCATCCCCGTGTGCTGAGAAACCGGGTCCCCCCGGCATTCCTGCCAGAACTGCGTCTGCTTGCTGATCACAATGCCCCTGAGGAACCCTCACAAGCACCTAGGTAAAGAATGGGGCTCAGTTGCCATGCAAAACGAAACAGATTACACACTGTGACTCATGAGGTGCTGAAATCGGAGTATGTCAGTTCAGCTGACACTGTATCACTCTTTTTAAAGGTTTACAGAGCTAGTGGATGGCAGAGGGAGGATCACCACTAAATTCAGCAACTTGCCCAGTAGATCTGTCACTGTGAGAACACGTAAGTGCCCTTCATCCTCCCTACTTGTATTCTTTGTCTCCTAGCGGTGCACTAATCCTCAGGCTAAGCTATTGTTGGCTTCCTTTTCTAGAACCTGAGGCTCCCATGAAAATGGAAGAAAATGGGGAGGAATCAACCAAACAGGTCAGCCAGGCACTCCACCTATCAGAACCTGAGAACAGCAAGAGGGAAAGTAAGTTTAAAGAGATAACGAGCATCTCTGGAATAATCCAGAAGTCAAAGATGGTACAAGGCCACACAAATAAAATGCACAAATAAAATATGTCTGCTAAAAATGAAAATACACTTAAAAGCCTGGGATAGCATCTTTGCCTGGCACCAAAAGAATAACAATGTTTGCAACAGAGGAATTCCACAAATGGGTTGCCATCCACCTTTCATCAAATAGGAGAAACTCCTCAAGGAACAGGCACTTATTGCTTTAGGGGGGGAAATAGCTTTGTTGTGATAATAATTAGGATTACTCTCTTTTTCTAAAGAAATAGTAATTGCTGGATGGGCCTAGCTAGAGATAGAACTTCTCTCCTTTTTATTATTTGTCATATACTCTCACTGCTACTTAAACCACCCGTCAGTCTAGTCTAGTGTTCTTTGATAGGATCTCACTGATGTGAATTGAACAGTGGACCATGATCTAACTACTACTCAATCCAAATATATATATATATTGTCTAGAACATTTTTGTAGGCATAACACTAAGGAGGTTAAAGGAGGATATCTTGCTGCTGTATGTGCACAGGGATTGAGTATTGGTCTCTGTATATACCCTGATGGGATGTCATGTGGACCATAAACTACACTAACAAATTGAACAAAAAACGGGCCATGTCTGATCAGTAGTGACGTTCACAGGGATATAGAAAGGAACAGCACGATAAAATTATGCATAGCCTGTTAAACAGTAATAAGCTTCTGTTTTAATAGATACACGTGCAAGGATGTGCACATGCAATAAAGTGAACTTCTTGAATACTGTTTTTTTCTGCAAGAAAATTGTCTCTTAGGTGACAAGTTATCTCGGGGACACTTCACAGACAGTCCTAAGTTTTAGCTGGAGCAAGGGGAGAATCTTTCCAGTAACTAAGAACTAGGAATTGCTCTTTATGATGTGTACATTACACTGCATTTTCACCTCTAGCAAACAGGTTTTGTATTGTTTAAAAGAACCCACAATAGAAGTATGTGTGCGCGCACAAATGACTTTTTACTTTCTCAAACACTTTTTTTTACTCCTACTTTTTTCCAACTAGCATGTGGGCAAACTAGTCATATACAAGGTTGTTCTCTGGCTTGGTGGACTAACTCATGATCCCAGCTTGGCACTTGCATGGTTGGCTACACTAAATGATTGCAGTTGACAATTCCCACCTTCAACTAAAGATTTGACATAATAATGAACCATCCGAGGAGTTTCCCAGCCCCTGCAGGATCCCATGGCTCACTCCTGTACACAGGACAGACATACTTGCAAGTAACTGTGAAGAAAGCTAAGCAACTTGCCTTTGATTCACCTACTCTCAAATCTGAATGCTAGCTCCCAATTTTCCTTTCTAACATAAGTAAGACACAGTACTCTGCCTGTTGCCTGGAAGTACTATTGATGCATGCTTTAACTGTTGAGTGCAAATTCCAGGATATCTTCCTTTATGCAGCCATATAAATTTTCCCTTGGCTTTTTTGCTGGCCCATGTAGAACCAGCATGGATAGCTGGCTCGGGTGATTATCTGATGTTTCCTTCCTTTATAGTCTTGATTTATGGGCTACTACTACTAAAATGAGGCTGCATTTTTAAGCTGTATTTTAAGCCATATTTTAATTGTTTGTTGTTGCTGTTCTCTATTACATTTTATTGTAATTTATATTTGTAATTTATTTATTTACTGTAATTTATATTATATTTGGTGTTAGCCACCCTGAGCCTGGCCCTGGCCGGGGAGGGCAGGGAATAATAATAATAATAACAATTATTATTATTATTATTATCATCATCATCATCATCATCATGATTATCATCCCTTTCATCACCAGGTGGCAAGCAGAACTGTTCCATAAACTTCTGCCAAAACGGGGGGACCTGTGTTGCTGGCCCAGAGTCTTATCACTGCGATTGCAATCCTGGATTCAAGGGCAGACAATGTGAACTAGGTGAGTTAAGAACAGCACAGGCTTCTCTGGACTCTCCTAATGGTACTATGGGTGCTTCCAGATGCGGATGATTTTTAATTGTTTAGTCAATCTTGACCTTCCTCCTAAAGGAGCCCAGGGCATCAAACGCTGAAGTGATAAAACAAGTGATAAAATAATACAATTAAAAATAGAAAAGTTAAAATTTTAAAAACAACTAAAAACATGTGAATATTAGTAGCTCCCAGTTGTTCCTGCTCTACTGCAAGTAGAAGAGCAACTCTAATTCCAGACTTTACACTCTGCAGCCAAGTGGGCAAGCCCCATTTTCCCAGTGTGTATGCCATACAAAGGCACTGTGGGTTGGTGGTTCCTGTATCTGGGAGACCGGCCAGTTGCCTATTCTGGATGGAGTTCCCTCAGAAAGAAGAGTTTTGGGGTGCTTCTGGGTCCATCTTTGTCTGGACGCTCTGGTTGCCTCAGTGGCTAGGAGTGCCTTTTACCAGCTACAGCTGGCATGACAGCTACAGCTGTTTGTGGACAGGGTTAGTCTGGCCACAGTAATTCATGCAATGGTAACATCAAGGCTCAATTATCACAATGCACTACCCTGGGCCTGTTCTGGAGACTTTAGCTAGTGCAAAACGCTGCACCCAGCCTGTTGATAAAAGAAAGCACTTCGTGCAGTGCATAGTCAAATTACAGAGCTTGCTCCCCCAGGAGGAAGTGATGGCCACCAACTTGGATGGCTGTAAAAGAGAACTAGACAAATTCATGGAGGAGAGGGCTATCAGTGGCTACTAGGCAGGAGTGTCAGCTTGGCCCCCCTGCCGTGGGTGCCATGCAGCATGAATGGCCCTGGCACCAAAATCTGTGGGTGCCCAGCCCCTTCATGGGGAATTTTGTGGGTGCTCAGGCACCCAGGGAGTTGGCACCTATGCTACTAGGCATGATGGCTATGCTGTACCTCCACAGCTGGAGGCAGCAATGCTTCTGAATACCAGTTGCTGCAAACCAAAGGATGGGAGAGTACTCTTATGCTCCCTGGTTTCTAGTTGGCTATTCTTATGCTCTTTATGTTGATGACGAGAGACCACTGCCAGCAGATAACTTCAGTGCTCAGGTTGGGCTGGCTGTCCATAGGATACTGGGAACAGGTTCGAGGTTCGTTATTAATTTACAAGGCCCTTAACAACTTGAGTGTAGGGTAACTCAGGGGCTGCCTGATCCCTTAGATTCCTGCTTGATCACTGAGGTCTTTGAAGGGGTCGCTGTTAGTGGTCCCCTGTGGCTCAGATGCACAACTTGTATCTATAAGGAGCCATGTGTTCAGGATGGAGGGCCAGTTTTATGTAGCTCCCTTTCAGTTTAGCTGAGAGAGGCCTCTTCCCTGTTGAACTTCTGGCACTTACTGAAGACGTCAAGATTTCTTTGATTATGGGAGTAACAGTGCTCTCTCCTTCCAAACTGTTGGTTTAATGAGTCTGCTTATCTCCGTTCACTCACCAGCACTTGGGGCAGGAATGTATTTAGAAGGCATTGGTTCTAAGTCAAGCTGCCTTTGCATAATAGGAATATTTAACAAGTATTAGAAATTGGACTTGAAATATCTCTCTGTGCTTATTATAGTCCTCCCTCCTTCCCTAACCATGCCAATTTCTCTCTTCAGCCTGCAAGAAGGTGCCTCAGTCTTGTACTCGGCTTTACTCAGAAACCAAATCCTTTCCCGTCTGGGAAGGAGGTGTCTGTCATTATCTGTAAGTACTGTCTCACAGAACATTAATTCAGAGATCAAATTAGCTCTCAGTCCCATTTTGATAGATAGGGCCTTGTACATTCCATTTTTGTTGTCCTGCTATTAATCCCCATACACAGGAATATAAAAGTACATGAACATCTGGAAATACAAAGAATTTTGTGAATTAAATATTCCCTGTTCTATAAAAAAAAAAGGTTTCTAGGATCCTAGAGATGAGGCAGGAATAAACACGGACAGTAAGCCAACTGAAGTTTGTAGTGCAGACATACACAAATGGTTGCAGAATGTGATTGCTGTGCAGCTTCTAAGATGTGATAGATCATGAATGATGCAAATGGTGAGCAACTCAGGGAATGGTGAGGAACTCATAATTTGGCTGCCGGTGGTTTTGGAGTGGCGGGCACTTGGGGGAAGATAGGAACTTGAGGATATACAAATGTCCATTTAGTGCTGGAGGTTTCTCTGTCAAAGTAGGAATGTTGGTGGAAATTAGGGAGGTCCAAGCTATGTGAGAGGTTCACAACCAACATACTATTCAACTATAGCCAAGCAGACTTTTCATCATTCCTACTCTTAACTTGCATTTGCTGTTGTGGTAGATACAAGAGGATCTACAAAGTGCACCAGGATGTCTGCTACAAGGAGAGCTGTGAGAGCACTGTTTCAAATAAGGCACACAGCAGGTAAAGGAATGTTGGTGGCTTTGTGGGAAGTCATAGCTGTGGGGGAAACCCTTGGAATGCAATATCCAACTCCTGATTTCTGACATTACTGATGGTTTAGGTTAGCAGCAACCATCTAATCTTGATGTTAACTTATGGGTTGTTTAGACCGCTGGAGTGTTTAAATCTGTGATCATTTAACTCAGAAAATATTATTGCTACTTTAATTCTGCTGCCATTGCCCAACATGCTGCTGGAGCAAAGTAGCATTCGGAACAAGCAGAGTATGTTTGAATGTTTTATAGATTTAACCTTCTCTTGTTTGTTTCAGAAAACAAAGTAACAGACACTGAAGCCATATAGTAAGTATCTTTGCAGGGAATGAGGAAAATATAGGGAATGAGGGCTCCATAAACCTCTGTGCTGGATAAAGCACAGAACAGGGTTAAGGAATCTGTGGCTCTTCAGTAGTTGGCTGCAACTCCCATCCCTGAGCATTGACCTTGCTGGCTGGAGCTGATGGGAGCTGAAGTCTTAACAATAGAAGAGGACCATAGCTTCCCCAGCCCTGCTAGAGTTAGGGGTCTTGTAAGGAACAAGTTATCTAGAATCTCACTGGGTGGGACATATCCTTTATCCTGCTACTTGTATCAAATTCCTTTTGAAAAGTTCCCACAGCTGAGGATATTGTGTGTTTTCTAACTGCATCATAATGGTGAACAAATGCTTTATTTATTTAGATTGAGAGCCTCTTGGGATACTTTAAATAAACAAATCAAAGTAGCTTACAAAATATTTGCACATATAATAAAAATATAACTTGGTGACAGGTATCTTCAGGCAGCATTCCGCCCCGCCCCCCCGCCTTCTTTATTTTTCCTTGATGTCACCAGGCCACAGGCCTACTGAGGTGAGCAGGGCTGAGCAACTGCATCTTGCTCCATCTATGGTGGAGCAGTCTCTTTGCTGGCAGAAAACTTCAAAATATTGATGGGTAGGTAGCTTGCTTCTAAAGGAAAAATGGCAGTGATTATTGACTACCACATACGATTTCATGAAAGGTATAAGTGAGACAAGAAAACAGCACCCTGGTCTTTTATTCCAAGCAGATGCCAGAAGGCTCAGACATGACAATCTCAGAAAATTTCAGGGAACACCTCGAGAGTGTTTATACATATCTGACACTTAAGCCTGACCTTTCTACATTACAAAGATAATTGTCAACCAGTTTTCTGCCTACTTCCCTACACACGCCGAGGAATGAAATGTCAGAAGCAGCCTTTAGCATTCTTTGATTCTGCTCATTGAAAGCAGTATTTCTTTCAAAGCTCTTTCAGTGAGACTGTGTCTCTCTACCCTCCGTAAAAAATTTCATTAATGGATCCCAAAGCTATACCAACAGAATTCCTCACCAGGATTCTCCTTGTTGTGGGAATATCAAGGATCTGCTCACCAGTGGAACTTTGACATTTTACTAAAGAGTTCAATGTAAATATGAATAAGGAGTAAATCTGCTTGTTAACTTTTTAACACAAGTGAAATAAACGTTTTAGCAATGAAATGGAGGAAGAAAAGAATCTTTGTACCTGTGTTTTATGCATGCGCACATAATCTAAATGCTAGCTGTCATGTTTTATTTTTCCTTTGTAGGTTGCAGAACACTCAACATTTCTTCTAACTGGATTGGAAAAAAGGAGAGACCCTCCAGCAAGATCTATGGACTTTTCTTCCTTTGCCTTGTTCAGGAGGTGTTCACCAAATAGCCATATCCCTCTCTCTTTGGCAGGATTATAAGGGTCCGCTTACCTTTCTTCATAGCACCTGAATTTATACAAGATGAGTGACATGTTAGAAAAGTCTCTCTCAGGATTGAAGTCTATTATGGGCCACTTGCCGCAAGGGCAGAGCCTAAAGTTTCACCAGTGATGGAGATACTGGTTATATAATCTGTGGCCACTGGACTACCTTAAAAGAAAAACAAGCCCTGAAACAAATGTTCTGGATTATAACCAAAAGGAGAACCTCCCTGGCATAAAATTTGATGTTCAAAGCTAATCACAAGTCTAAAATACTCCCATTTGCAAACAGTGTGTCTTTTAAAAAAACACTAGGTTCTTTTCCTTTGTTTTTTCCCTTTTCAAGATTAGTTAATGAAAAGCAACAAATCTGACAGCCAGCTACTGCTGTGCCTTTTTATTGCTAACAAATTACTAGCATTTCAAAAGTTATTCTAGAGGAGGGGGGAAAGGGCTGCAGAAGCTAGAAGTCTATATCCATTTTCAACAACAGATCAAACAGGCTTTTAGTTATTCAGCCTGTGGACATGCTATTCCGTAAAGTGATTAGAAAATGCCATGCCTTAATAATTAAAAAAGTTGAAAACCCTTCTAACCACTCTATGAAGGGTAACTAGATTGCTTTCCTATTTAAGTCAGGATTGTGATGCCAGTGGAGGAAAAATAGCAGAGCATTTCTTCCTTCTTCCCAGATGTTCATTTGCTACAACTCCCAATAATGGCCAGCTACTCAAGGAGCCTTAATATTTCCTAGATTTGTGAGTTTGTATGACTAAATATAAAATTGTGTTTAATATACATACACTGTATATTTTATAAATTAATACAGCCAGAGGTTCAATTACAGTTTGCCAATTATTATTCCTGTAAGTACTGGTAGCTCTCTAGCAGCCCATTCAGCAATTGCAAAAAAGAAGGGGGAAAAAAGGGGGGGAAGCAGCCTTGTTCCCTAGAAAGCTAATCCTGGCAGCCTTAAAGAGTTGTAAATATAGTTTCTTCAGCAAAAGATAGCACTAACCATTCCCAGCAAGAAAAGGCCCTTCCCACAGATATCACAAAAGGATAGCCTCTAGGAGAAGGGCTCACTGCAACCAATAAACATTTAGGTTTATTCCAATTATTTACATAGGTTTTGCAGCAGTATTAGCTAAAGGATCCCCCTCCCCACAGAAATTGCATTTTTCACTACAAACCTTCTCAAAAGGCATGGGCTCTAAGAGAAAATCATATACTTAATATGACTAATACAAGATCTCCAACTCTCTCCATTGCAAATTGCAGCATTTTAGTTGGATGTTCTGTAATTTGCCGTTTTATGAAAAAAAATAGAAATCTGGATTTCTCATTCAGGGAAGGCTTCTTCAAGAACAAGAAGAAAAGGAGAACTTTTAAGAAGGCCTAGCTTGTATAGATTGGCAAGAGTAGAACACGACACCAAAGGACCACAGATTGCTTTGTCGGAGTAGTGTTAAAACTACATTTTAAGCTTTTCTAGCATTTTAAGCACTGATTTGTCTGAGCAGCCAATCATGTACTGCCACAATGAACCTAGGCATGGGGAAAATATGCATTTTCATGTTTCATTAGCAAGTAGAGAATTTATCATGCCCTCTGTTTCTGATGTTCAGGTTGTGAGCAGCTTATGTAGCCAAAACAGCACCAAGCTTGGGGGGGGGGAGGACTGCAAAAGTAGAAAAATAAAATCATATGGGGGTGGGACAACTAAAAATGGACAGAACCCCAAAACAGCCATGAGGCCACACAATGCTGATGGGAGGTGAGAATTGGAATGAAGAGGTGGAATACTGAACAGAAGCACTCCACGTGCTACGACGTTTTGTCTCCGATCTTACTTATGAACACTAAAATCCCAACTACTTCAGTTTAATTGGCTTGAGGGCACATGGCGGCAATCTCACTGTTAAAAATACAGCTTCCAAGGTGCAAAAAAGGGGGTGGGGGAAGGAAAGGGGTAGTCATCCCATCAGCTAAATAGCACCTTTTTCCAGGCCCAGTAAATTGGCAAAGATAGTGAGAGGTCTTCAGAACCAGTTTCTTGTCTGCCGCACAGCAACACTGGTTTCCCGCCCCCCAGGCACAGTCTAAAGTAGAACAGTCTGTATCAAGTCAGTATTTTATAGCCAGATTGAGGCATATATAATGCAGCAATAAACTAAAAAAGATTTTATTCTGTCAAAGTTATTTTGTTTTGCATTTTAGATTAAAATACAATTTATTTAAAAGCTAGTCTGCTTTCTTTAAGAATACGTGAGGATGCCAGTTGGATACCAAAATCCTGTTCCTTTACCAACAATTTTAGCAGTTGTCAGCCACCAACAACCAGCAAAACCTCTTTGCTATCCCTGAGCATGAAATTTCTGCTTACAAACTGCACCTAGGCCCTGCATTTCCTCTCCCATAAATCGTTATCTATGTTTTGCTTCACAGAACCCACAACAGCTACTTCTCTGTTCTGAGAACAACATCTGACTTTTTATTTCACAGCCTGCATTTCATCTTCCTTGACAATCCATCCCTAGCATTGCCTATTTCAAGTCCCTCGGAGAAAAACAAAATTGTTTCCATTCTTAAAACGAAGTGCATTCTTATCATCTAGAGTAGAGGTGGGTAACCTGTGGCTCTTCACATGTTCTTGGACTTCCATAATCCATGACCTTGTTGGCTGGGGAGTTGGGATTCAATAACAGATGGAGAGACCCTGATGTAGTGGAATTCCTCAGTCTATCTTGAGAACTCCCACCTCAAGCTTACCCCACGATTCTTTAAAATGTGCAGTGGTTCTAAAGGAACAAGCCAAAGTAATGACAGGAGATCACAAACATTTTGAGTTCCATTGCTTTTACATAGCTGCTGAGTAGACTTTACCCTTATTGACCACCACCTCTCATTTTTACACAACTGATGCATTTTCATTCCCCAATGTTCAAGCCAATTCTAGACTTGAACAAGATTATACCAGTACCAAACTTCAGAGATTTTTAAATTTTATGTACTTAGTCTGAATCAGACCCTTCGCCATCACTCTCTGAATCTGAGAGATCGTTTTTCTCTGCCGCTTCCTCCTCTTTCTGCCTCCGTTCTTCTTCACGGGCCAGCAATTTCTTAAATATATTATACTCTTCCAATGAGGAACAGGCCATTTTTTCTATAAAGTCACTTTCAGAAGCTCTGATTATTCTTTTCAGTTTGGGGTTGACAACCTGGGTCTGTCCTTTCTTGTCAGGAGTTTGAAAGAGTCCCAACCGCTCCAAGAAAATAACCCGGTTTTTTATCTCAGCCAGTGATGCTTGGAACAAACCAGAATTCACGATTTCTCTGTGTTTAATCCCCATCCTGAAATAAGCAAACTGAGAAAAAGAAGAAGGAATCAAACCTTGAATAAGCTATTATCAATATTCGATACTAGACTGTGAACCAAGGGCTGGAAAGGGTTTATTATTTGGCTAAACATGTTTCAGGATCTTTGGTTCTCTACTGCAGTGTTTCCCAACCGGTGTTCCGCGGCACACTAGTGTGCCGCCAGACGTTGCCTGGTGTGCCGCGGGAAAAATTGGCGGGGGGGGGGAATAAAGGGGAAAAAATTTATTCCCCCACCGCCAGGCGTGGGGCTGGGGCGGGGGAAGCCCGAGCTTCCCCCTCCCCCAGAACGGGACCCAGAGCCATGCCGAAGCTGCGTGCAGCTTTGGCATCGCTCTGGGAGCTTGCGGGGCTGGGGGAGGAGGAAGCCCTCCGCCAGCCTCCAAACCATGTCGGGAGACAGCGGGATGGCGCGCTGCGCCTCTCCCGCTGTCCCCCGAGTTTGCAGGGCTGGCGATGGGGAGGAGCAGGCTTCTCCCCCCGCCAGCCTTCCAGCCAAGTCGGGGGCAGCGGCAAGGGCGCGCTGCGCCTCTCCCGCTGTCCCCCGAGTTTGCAGGGCTGGCGATGGGGAGGAGCAGGCTTCTCCCCCCGCCAGCCTTCCAGCCAAGTCGGGGGGCAGCGGCAAGGGCGCGCTGCGCCTCTCCCGCTGTCCCCCGAGTTTGCAGGGCTGGCGATGGGGAGGAGCAGGCTTCTCCCCCCGCCAGCCTTCCAGCCAAGTCGGGGGGCAGCGGCAAGGGCGCGCTGTGCCTCTCCCGCTGTCCCCCGAGTTTGCGGGGCTGGCGATGGGGACAGTGGCGTAGCGTGGGGGGTGCCAAGGGTGCCGGCCGCACCGGGCGCAACATCTGGGGAGGCGCGAGTCCAGAGGGAAGGGACAAGTTCCTTCCTCCGCCGGGCTCCCCACCACCGCCAGCCTTGCGCCCTAGCGCGCGCGCGCCCCCCGCCACCGCCGCGGCTGCGCTCCACTCACTGCTCGCAGGAGGAGCAGCCGTTGCAGCAGTGCCGACGCCGCCACCGACGCCTGGCCGGGCACGGGCAGCCTCTGCACCCCGACGCGCCGCCATCCCCTCGGCCCAGCCCCAGGCGGCGGCTGCTTCTGCCGACTGGGAGGGAGGAGAGCTCCGAGGGGCCTCGCCGCGCGCTCCCCAAAAACCTCCGAGAGGAAGCCGGTGGGCGGGCGAGGCCCGGCTAAGCCTCTCGCCAGCGGGTTAAGGGGCTTTCGGTTTTAAAAGGATTAGCTTGGGAAGGAGCGGGGGGGGGGCTGCTCGCCGGCAAGCGCCTGCTCCGCATTTCCAAAGGCGCTCGCCATCCGAGGGACAGGGAGCGCTTGCAAGGAACGGGCTCCGTGGAGCAGGAGTTAGGAAGAGATCCCTTCCCTGGCAGGCCGCCGGCTTCGCCAGCTGTTTCCCATTCACGATCAGGAGGAACTTCAGGCTGCTTTCAGCTTTGGTAGAGGGAATCTAAGCAAGGGGATGGAGCCGGTGCCCTGAGGAAAGGCGGCAGCATTGGGTTTTTTAGTTTAGAGAAAAGGCAAGCAAGAGGCGACAGGAGAGAAGCCTGCAAAACTAGGCATGGCAAGGAGAGAGTGGACAGAGAGGAAAGTTTTTATCCCTCTCTCCGTACAATATAACTCGTGGGCATCCAGTGAAGCTGAACGTTGGAACAGTGGCGTAGCGTGGGGGGTGCCAAGGGTGTCGGCCGCACCAGGCGCAACATAGCTTGCCTGCAATGCCATCCCTCGAGCAGGCGAGGAGCCCGGAGGCTACCAGATGCGAGTCCTCTTTCCCACCCTGCTCGGGAGTCCAGAGCACTTGGTCGCATTCAGGATCTAGAGTGGGGAAGCGGGGCTTGTGTCTGGGCTGGACACATTGGGCTGCCTGTGCCGCTCGACCTGCGGGGAGAAATCAGGGTGGGAGTCACGACCGTGAGGCAGGGCTGCCAAGTGTGGCAGAAGAGGACACGGCCGTCGCACCTGTCCTTAGGTAGGAGCTTCTTCCGTGTCGACCTGCTGCCCTAAAGTCTTGGCTTTTTTCTTGGCTTTTTGGCGGTTGGCACAGAAGGAAGGCAAGGGGGAGGGGAAAAAATTGAAACTTACACTTTCGTGCGTCCCTCCCGGCGTGACGCTGCGCGCTGACGTCACGGGGCTGTAATGGTGGTGTGCCTCGAGATTTTTTTCATGAAACAAGTGTGCCTTTGCCCAAAAAAGGTTGGGAAACACTGCTCTACTGTGCCTCTTTTCCTGCCTTTACGTATAGTCAAATCAAGGAGGTTACTAGTTCACTAACACCGGTGCCATTGGATTCCATAATGTTTCCCTCCTAAAACTGGAAAAACATCTGAAGTCCTTAAGAAGCAGTTGTGGCAACAATGTTTAAGACAAGAGTAGCCATCCAGAGAAATTCCATACAAAACTAAGAGTGAGATACAGCATAGCATGAATGGGTGTGCGTCTGCAAAATGGTTTCTTCTCTTCCCCTTGTAGCCCAGCAACCCCTTCCAGATCTTGAGTGGGCCAAACAGATCCCAGGGTGCATGGGAGCTGCAGGAGGAGGGGAAAACCTGAAATGTCACTGCACAAGCAGGCTTATGTTGTGCAAGCAAATGACCGTCACTTGATGTGACCCAAAATATGAAGTCACAGCCTTTACTGCAATAAATTCAAAAGCATGTCCATAAGATAGCAGAGAAAAGTCAAATGTTACATTTCTCAGGGCCCGCATGAGAGATTCTAGAAACAAATCAATGGAATAGGAAGCACAAAAGCAAAGTTTATTCTAGTTTCTATTATCTATATCAGTATTTGGAAGAGAGGAAAGAAAAGATCTTATTTTTAAAGCACATTCTAAAAAATGAGTTACCGTATTTTTCACTCCATAAGACGCACATTTTTCCTCCTAAAAAGTAAGGGGAAATGTGAGTGCATCTTATGGAGCAAATGGCGCTGCGCAGAGAGACAGAGCTGCGCAGCGCCCCTTCAGCGAAGCGGGAGGAGGAACGGAGCCCCTTCTGTTCCTCCTCCCGCTTTGCTGAAGGAGCGCTGCGCAGCTCTCCCTCTCTGCGCAGCACCCCTTCAGTAACGCACCTGTCCTGCGAAGTCGGAGGAGGAACAGAGGGGGCTCCTTTTGTTCCTCCTCCCGCTTCGCAGCGACGCCCCTGTCCTATGAAGCCAGAGGAGGAACAGAAGGGGCTCATTCTGTTCCTTCTCCAGCTTCGCTGAAGGGCGCTGCACAGTTCTCCCTCTCTTCGCAGTGCCTCTCCTGTGAAGGAGAGGCGCTGCGCAGAGGGAGAACTGTGCAGCACCCCTTCAGCGACGCACCTGTCCTGGCTTCTGCCTTAGTCACGTGCAGCCTCTTCGGGCAGGGGGAGCCTTCATCCCGCTGCCCGAGAGAGGCTGCGTGCGGCTATCCCATAAGCCAGGACAGAAAGAGGGATCACTGCGCAGCAATCCCACTTGCTGTCCTGGCTTCTGCCTTAGCCCCGCGCAGCCTCTTCTGGGCAGGGGGAGCCTTCATCCCGCTTCCCTGAAGAGGCTTGGCGCGGCTATCCCAGAAGCCAGAACAGCCAGAGGCTATCCAAGAAGCCAGATCCCTTTTGCTGTTCTGGCTTCTGGGATTCAGAATAATTTTTTGTTTTCCTCCTCCCAAAACTAGGTGCGCCTTATGGTCTGGTGCGTCTTATGGAGCGAAAAATACGGTATATGGAAACTCCCTGCTAAAGCATATCTTTGGTCTTTGCAAGATCTGTGGGTGGGATCTACTGTGACTGGAAGCCTATCAGCTAATCTGCTCTGGGAATGTGCACTGACACTATATATTTGATATGAATTTCTGAAAATATAATGCAGCATACATTACCTGGAATTTATATTCCACATCACCTAGCTCCTCCAGCAAAATATTTGGGCATGTTTGCAGAATTTTTGATATCTGCTGCACAGAGAAAAGGCATTTTTCTTTGAGGAGATTCTCTAGGACCTCAATTCTCTTTTGTGGCAAGGTAAAAATTCTTGGGAAATGAACTGCCATATGGTTAAGGCCCACTGTTAAAGTAAAGAGGAAAAAGACATAAACAATCATACCCTAGGCTTACTTTTTTGGTTTGCTCCTCCGTACTCCCTGTGTACCTGCTATACATAGAGCCACCCAGTCCTCCAGGCTAAAAATGTTTTCTGGGTATATGCCTGGCTCATTATTTATTGTGCAGAACTTTGTGCATTTGCATGTGTATGTACTGCAACTGCACAATGCAGGAATAAAGGAAACACTGAGGAGCAAATGAAAAAGGAAATGAAACAATGATTAATGATACAGAAGGAATTCTTTAGACGGAGAAATACAACTTTTTCATATAAAACATATTTGGAGGGCTAGAAGAAAGCTTGAAAGGAAAAATGCTTTTACATCCTTTCCTAACCCAAGTTTTATCAAGCAAGCACTTCTAAAATCTGCAATTCAGTTTCAAACTTTCCCTTTTCTGCTGTATTTGTAGCATCTGGGAGCACCTGGAGATGCAGATTTGCCCTTTACATTCCACCTACAATTGTGGGCCAAACTTTCACAGCTGGATCTAATCTTCTTTAAAAGACCATCTAAATCTGTGATGTATTAAGTGATCGATGAATCTATATTTCTATCAACGTAATGGAGCCATGGTTCCTATCACTGCATGCGGAACTTAATTTGCACCCTTTCCTAGAGATCAGATTTTCTGTCTTTTATTCCATATAATGCCCACTAGAAGAGTTAAAGATAATGCTCACAGGCTCCAAACAGGGTTACAAAAATCCAGTATGGCCCACAGCACACAATTCAGTACAGATGTTCCACTGATTGCATAGCACAGAGAAAGCATTACCTTCCTTGAATGCCAGCCTCCTTAGCAGATCTGCACGGTCCTTTATATGCTTTGATGACATTCCCAGCAATTCAGGGCTCTTCTGTAAGACATTTAGTGTGGCGTCTGTGCTTAAACCCAGAAGAAGGAGCTCTGAAACGACAGCCAACCTGAGCTGAGGAGGTGCATATGGCTGCAAGCTGAACAAGTGTGTTATCTGAGCCGGGCTTAGCCCCATGTCCAAGAATGGATCTGCTACCTTCCCCAGCTTCAGGAGATCTGAATCAGCTGGTCTCTCTGGCTCTACTTGGGAAGTAGCAAGAGTCTCTAGAAGCTTCTGAGAGGCTTCATTGGTGTCTGTTTTACAGCTTCTATGGGATACATTTGTTTCACTTTGTCCAGAAGAACTGGTGCCAGTCAATCTGCAGCCCAGGTGTTGAAGAGAGCATAGAAAGGCAAGTGGTGATGCCTTCAGATAAGACAATTGGATAGAGTGACAGGCAATGGGGACAAATTTGTGCTTCTGCAAGACCTAAAGGAACAGACAACAAAGTTTAATATATTATAAATTACAGTCATACCTCGAGTTAAAGTTGCTTCAGGTTGAGCATTTTTGGGTTGCACTCCGCGGCGACCCGGAAGTAATGGAACGCGTTACTTCCGGTTTTCGCCGCTCGCTTCGTGCTCAAAATGATGTCACGCATGTGCAGAAGCGGTGAATCGCGACCCATGCATGCACAGACGCGGGTTGCGTTCACTTCAGGATGTGAACGGGGCTCCGGAACGGATCCCGTTCGCATCCAGAGGTACCACTGTATTGTGTTGTTCAGAATACTTTAGGCATCAGAACTAGGGGACCAAAGCATCCTTGCAAAAGTGAAACCATACAGTCATTCTAACAAGTTTTTCAAGCCTTCAGACTAGTAGTATGAGTCCATGGTGGTCACAAGCACCATGAAGACAAATAATATTTATTTATAATCATAAAAGGGGTCATGGATTACTATAGACAAAACTCAATCCGGTCTGGTATAAGTAACAAATACAATAAATCTTACACTGCTGATCCATCTCAGATCATCTGTTAGCCAACACTTGCAAAGCACCAGTTTCAAAGCAGCTCTCACTATCCCATAAAGTAGTATGCTCTCAAAATCACAGTGCGGATTAAAAGTATTTTAATCCATTTTACGACAATGGTAGCTGAAGATGGACCTGGTTTGGAGGCTGGCGGTGGGGGAAAGCAGCGCTCGGTCGAAAGCCCGCAAGGAGCCGCGCACTCTTTAAAGGGTGCGCGGCTCCTGTGGGCTTTTGCGGGAGATGGGGGAATTCCCCCACCTCCTACAAAAGCACGCAAAAGGTACTATGGACGTATATACCTGGGAGTAAGTCATATTTTACTTGGTGGAACTTACTTCTGACCAATTAAGTTTAGGATAGCCATTCACATATGAAACACTAAGCATACCTTAGGAGGGTATAACAGTGAAAACTAATCTATTACTTATCCATTTAAAAGCTTGTATGTCCCCATCTTTTTTCACCAAGTTTACTTGGAAGCTTAAGCTTATAACAACATAAACATCAAATTTCAAACAACATAAACAAACCAAAACACACAACCAGAAAAGGAAAGGCGGACTCTCTAAGTTGCCATTAACTGACTAGATGCCCTTTCAGGCAAACTGTTCTCTCTTGCTGCCATCCTTACCCCCACAAGCAACATGCGGATATCAATACCAACTTACTATACACTCTTGTTGCAATGATTCAGTGATTAAAGTGCTGTTATTTACTTCAGGGGTGGAAAACCATTGTTCCCCCAGACGTTGCTGGACTACAATTCCTATCATATTTGCTGCATATTTTGGGATCTCTGCTGGGGTCCTCTCACCAAACAGTACTTGCCCCAAACCTATATCTTTGTATCCAATAAATTAATTATTTTATATCCTTTCCCCCTTCTTTACTTGCCAACCAACATTTAGCTGTTCTTATTTTATCTGTAAGCCACCTTGAGTCTCTGTCGAGGGAAAGGCAGTATACAATAAGCAAATGTATAATAAATAAAATAATAATAATTCTAAAGAGGCGGCCGGAAAAGAGAAGTGGGCAAAGCGCCACGGACTCTAATGAGAGCCGTGCCAAAAAAGCCTCTGCAAGGGCAGGAACGAGGCAGGATGCAGGCACAAGAACACGCGTGTATCTCGCGTGTCGGCCTGCTACCACGAACGCGAAGCTCAACGCGCAGAGGTAGCGCTTGAGCTCCACTCCGTCCAGGCTGCCTCCCACCGTGAAGCAGGGAGGCTCTCGCACATCCGCCACGGGGCGGCGAAGCAGCTTGTGCTGGTGGGCCTGGGTTTGCCGTGAGGGCGCGTCGCCTCGGGGCCAGAGCTCCACCGGCCCAGCCGAGCCCTGCCGCAAGACTCCTCCCTACCTGCGCGCAGAAGCGCCCCAGCTGCGCGCCCCTCATCTTGCGAAGTTTCCTCTCCGGCGCGAGGCTCCCAGAGGAGGAAAGTGTTCGGGCAAACGCCTGCCCACTCGGAAACGGAAGCTGAAGGGAGAGTTCCGCCGCGCGGTTGAGGGCTGGGCGACCTCCCTGGGCCCTTCCCGCGCAGGAGAAAGCTAGCTGTGTTTAGGCCGATCGATGCGGAGGGCAATTGAGTTTAGGAATTAGTCTGCTATTCTCCCGTAATGAGTCGCTTCAGATGACATTTTTAAAGTCATACCCTTAAGATTTGAGTGCTCGGGGTGGGGGGAATCTTAATGCACACACCTGTCCCACTCAAAATAATGCAGCTACACACGTCCAGGAGATGGGATTTGATCCCGGCCCTTGTTTACCAAAACAATGTTCGCTTGGAGGCAAACGGGGGATTAGTCACACCACACTTTGAAGATATATATACAGTGCCGGATTTACCTGTAAGCCAAACAAGCTATAGCTTGGGGCCCCCAAAAAAATTAAAAGGAAAAAACTGGGATGTACATTTCCAAAATACAAGATAAAAAATAAAATACAACCTACATACAGCAACAGTGTTTTGTGTTGTGTAGGCACCTATGATGTAAGTAACGGGCCTCGTCTGCTAGCCTGCTCCCTAAAATATCACTGGTCTGCTCATTTCTATATATAGGGCACCAACATTCTGCATGGACTGGTTGCATGGCAACATGTGCAAATGGCTTTAGATACCTATTAGGTCCATAAATTACCATATGGCATATATTCAAGACAAAAAACAGCGACAATTTGTTGTTGACGAGGGACAGCTGGACATATAAAGGGCCCCATTACCTTCAGTAGCTTAGGGCCTCATCAAACCTAAATCCGACCCTGTATATATAGGAACAGAAATAAAAGCTCCCGAGGACAGTAGAGGAGACCTCATAAGATGATTAGCTGAAGCAGGGTTTTGAATTAAGGTTTCCAAATTACTACTGGGGGTTTTATGTGCTGGAGGGCCGCCACCCACCCGTGAAACTGACACCAAATTTGAGGTAGAAAACATGATACTTTTCACAAGAAAAGCATGAACAACCCTATTGTCTAAGCAGGACTGGTGACGTCCCAAATAGGGATTTATAATTGGAAACCCTGATAGAGCCCACCACCATCATATACCATGTAATGAATGGAACTTCTTACCGGCCCCAGTGGAGGGACATATCCTCCAGCTAGCTGTCTTCCTCCACTCAAGGAGGGAAGCTGGAGAAACAATTGATGTTACAAACATATTGAAATTGTGTACAAAAATAGGATAAGGAGCAAATAACTCTTAAAGGGTAATCTAACAGGCAAAGCCATTCAGTAAATTATATCGTTTAAAACAGGGATGGGCAGAAGGTAGATCATCTGGTTGCTCTCTGGATTATATTAAGTGGTTCAGAAAGGACGTATGGCAAATCTAGTACTCAGAACAAATTCCTGGGTTCAGAATTCTTAATGTATACCTTTAACATTTCGCTCAGGTTGGTAGATTTAAGTTCTAATGAAAAACATAAGTCTGAAATCTGTCCACTCCTTATTTAAAATTGCTTGTGTACTACACATACAACAAAGCCTTTGCCTACCACTCCTAGAGTTTACCATACCCATTGAGACAATCGCCCATCTCCTACTACCCTCCTGAGAAAAACCCCACCCCACCCTCCCACTATATATAAGGGTCTGGTGACTTCTGTTTCAGTGTATCTGAAGAAGTGTGCATGCACACGAAAGCTTATACCAAGAACAAACTTAGTTGGTCTCTAAGGTGCTACTGGACAAATTTATTTTATATATATATATTTCGACTGCGTCAGACCAACACGGCTACCTACCTGACTCCTAGAGGTATTGCCTTTCTGACACCACCTCTTTTGTTCATTCTTGTAGAGAAAACTTTCCTAACATTCCTTGATGCAGCCTTCCTGACCCTGCTTTTGTTCATGTACCCCTGAAAGTGACATTTATTATGGTCATGAACCTCACTTGGTGTCCTTGGTCCAATCACTGTCTAATGCAACTCAATATTAACACAAGGATTGGTGGAGGAGAGAAGAGCTACATATTCCACTTCTCGTTCTTTGAAAGGGGGAATAAAAGTACAGAAGTTTATTCTGTTCCTGTTGGAGAGCAACATTAGATCGTAATGGCAAGTGTGCAGAGCAAAAAAGGTTGCAATAGAAAAGGGAACAAGACTGGGCCACTGCTGTTGATAACAAGAGCCTTTAGTAAATGCATACAAAGCGATTCAGCACAGTTAAGATGGAAAATCATAGCAATCAACAAAATACATTCTAAAAAGTTACGTTTTAAAATACAGCCTAAGTTAAAAGTCATGACACATGACTTGCTAGACCATTTAGCTTCAAGGTATCACAGCAGGTTAGAATTGTTTTGCTTCAATTCCTCCTCTCTTTAACCATGCTGTAATGTAGGGCAATTCATAAGCAATTTGTACAGTAAACACTCCAATAACAAGTACCAAGATGCTTATGTAATTTTAGGGCCGGACTATATTAATTAGACTATTGTCTTAGAGGTACCTACCTAGCATCATGCCACAATGAGCGCTAACATGACTAGGTATTCTCTTCTGTATAAACTGATAGCTTCCTTCAAGATAAAGGAAATGAAGGCTAGCATAGGAAGTGTGCTTCAAAAAAGGTACCTCTAAATTACAGTCCAATAAAGGTAGAAGTAGTAGGGCCTATTCTATACATAATCATTTGAAGATAGTTATATTATTGAAGTGCCTACCTTCTAGGTGCACCAGAGCCAAATACAACTTTCCCAACTCTTTTCAGAGTGCTCACCTGTCAGGTCATCCAGAAATGGAGCTGGTACAGAAAAGTAATCTAGAACCCAGTTCACTTGAAAAATATGAATTGTTCCCAAAAGATTTCAAAACAGAATCTATAAAATGTAGATATTTTGTTCTTAGAATATATAAAAATAGCTAATGCTTCCATGAAAATTATAATTTTGCCAATTACCAGCAGAATCCATATATTTTTTTAAAAAGACTACTGAATATGAACTACCTAATGCCTGATTCTTTGAGCAGAATCGGTGTCTTACTATGTCAACCAGCCAGAAATATCTGACTAGAGCTTTTTCTGGACAAAGGAAAGGATTTCAGTTTCAAATCCAATAACTGAATAAAGCTGTAGAAAAACTTTCTTTTCTCAGGTGAGCAAGAAATTTGACCTCCCACTGATGTCTACCAGATACAAAATGTCACCGTTTATATGTGAACCTCAGAAACAGAGTCATCCAAGAAGCCAAGACATGGAGTGTTGTATGCACCAATTGATAAGTGTTTTGGCTTTGAATCGTAGATCTGCTCCAAATTGTAAGGAGGAAAATAGAAGCTCTTCAGAAACCCTTCCCTAGGCAAGCCTCACTCAGTTGTCAGTTTGGCCAATACATGGCTAAAATTCATAGTATCAGTCATCTCAAACAGAATGAGACCACTTGTGGCCTCCCTTTCAAACACTTCAAACATACCTGGAGTATAGGACATCTACATCTAAGTGTCTAAAATCAAATACCAGTCCTATCCGTTCCTATCAGTTCATCATTCAATACAGCTTTTGTAGTAAAGGTTCTGTTGTGATGAGTAATTACAACAAACAATATTGATGGCAAATGGGCCAGCTCACATGAATATACCCACTATGTAGGGTGGGGTAAGTGGGATTGTGGTTGCCTGACTATTTCCCTCCACCATGAGCACCTGCTGTCTCTTCTCCAGGGCTGCCAGATGTTCAAATATAGGTGTCGCTTATATAATGCCTGCTCCCACAAAATCCAATGTATAGGTTTGAATCACATGGTTGCTTCCTAGATTCTATGTAGCATATTTGGCACGCCATTTGAGTCTACGAGCACTAGATCTTTTTGTGAATAGGCATTGTGAGAAGCCGGTACCCACATATACATCTCTAAGAAGCCTACGGGTGTGGCAGAGGAGTTCACAGTGAAAGGAGTGAGCTACTGCTCTGACTCTGGTATTCCATCTCACGTAGGCAGTATGTTTGTCAGAATTCTACGTCCTCAGGGCATTTTTGTAAGGACTTTCAGGTGAGTGAGGAAATATTCTTCAAGCAAGTACAGAGGTAGATGGCCCTTGAGCTGCAGAGGTCGATGGCTCTTGCCCTGAGGCAGCAGTGGCTCCTGTCAGCTGGAGATCCATCAGCTCATAATTACTGGTGTCATCACTAAGGCTCTGCTCACTCTCCAGACTTGGGACTGCCCAGATACTACCATGGCTGCAGCCAGAGGAATTCATTTTGAAATGGTTGTTTTCTGAGGAGTAAAAAAATAAAATAAAATAAAAGATATAAATGTATTGACTATTAATAAACACTAAGCCACAAATATTGTTCAATAGCCATTAATATTACTGAATTGCTCAAGTCGGCTGGCACTCTGCACATGCCCTAGAACTACTTGACTACTAAGCTTTACAAGTGAATGTGCAATAAGTATGGGACTTGCAAACACAACAGGTGGAAGCAGACATTGGTTTATGCAAGCTATCCTCCCTAACCATCTTTTTGGCATATTCTTTTGTTAAAACAAAAAAGAGGGGCAGTCATTTCCACTAATTCCTCCAAGTGCAATAGCCACTGTGGCATGCAATAACCTCCAAATTAAAGATCACCAGTACTGTACCTCCATATGTACAAGTGTAACTTGTGAGTCCACATACACATGCAAATAGGGACATGGGCAGGCCTGGTAACAATATTCCATGAACAATGAAATCCTTACATGCCTAGGTGTAAATCCCACTGAACTCAAAGGAGCTATGTAGAAATATATAGGACTGCAATATAAAACTCTAATCCTGACTATAGTTGTCTAGGAGGAGTAAACCAACTTAACACAAAAAGTGTACTTGCCAGTAGGCATACACTGATTTGAACTGCACAGCAGCCATATAGATCCATTTCAAATCAGCAAGTCTAGTCATTCCTTTACAGAATTCATTGTAGACCTTTCTTGTTTGGAAATTCAATAAAAGTTTTGAAGATAGCTTTTCAAACCTTGTCTCCTACCTGGCTTGACAGAGACATATACTCCCTCCCATGAGTAGTTAGCAAGGTTCAGGGGTTGTGTCACCCAAGGATCCTCCACTACCACTTCTAGAGTTGTACGATCCTCTGGAAAAGGCTGCAAGAGCCCAGTCAGCAGATTCATCAGGTCTGAGGACAACAAGGAGATGAAATAACATCAGCAGCTTTTATGCTGGTCTTCAGCTTGCCTGTCAATTGAACTGAGATTAAGCACAGCCAATGCAAGTTTGATAATCTGAGCATAATGTTTAGCATACATCCCCATAATTTAGAAGTGTTGTACATATTCTTCCCACAGCTTCTTCCTCCTTCCTTCCTTCTTGCAGGATAGCCTTTGCTTGGCTATGAAAATGACTGAAATAGAGCCAAGTGTGCCAAATACACACCTTAGATGGCGCAAAACAGACCAATACAAATAGACAGGTGACTTTCTAGTTCAAAAGCTAGGGCTTATGAACTATTCCATGAAATACACCCCCCCCCAAAAAAGTGGTTTTTAAGCACTGACATTCATTATTTAATAGACAAGTCACATGAGAATAACCCAATAACTATTGAATGCCGCCAACTTCCTGGCATGCCTGAGGATGGAATGGCACATTACATGCCTACAGTATGTGCATAAAAAACCCACATGGCTGCTTTTCCCGCCTCAGGATGAGAATCCGGAACTGAGAAGGGATGAGAGGCAGGAGAAAGGATGAACACCTTCTCTTCTGCACAAGAAACTAGCAATACAGAAGTTTGGATTAACTTTTACGGCACATGGATAGCCGCTACAGCCAGGAAATGGTTATTCTTACAATATACCGTATTTTTCGCTCTATAAGACGCACTAGACCACAAGACGCACCTAGTTTTTGGAGGAGGAAAACAAGAAAAAAAATATTCTGAATCTCAGAAGCCAGAACAGCAAGAGGGATCGCTGCGCAGTGAAAGCAGCAATCCCTCTTCCTGTTCTGGCTTCTGTGATAGCTGCGCAGCCTGCATTTGATCCATAAGACTCTCACACATTTCCCCTTACTTTTTAGGAGGAAAAAGTGAGTCTTATAGAGCAAAAAATATGGTATATTTTTTTTAAAAAAAATTTAATGCCCAACAACAATTAGGCTGGTGTTCATGTCACACCAATCATCATAGGCTGAAGCATATGAACACGATGGGCCAATAGTAATCACCTCTGACAATGCCGCATGATGATGCCTAAATGTCACAAACTAACCTGCAGCCTTGTATATCCAAGCTTACTGGAGGCTTGACTAGAGATGGAGGGAGGCATGAAAGTGATCTACTTCCCTACCCGCTCTAGAGCATCCAAACAGAGCAAGGGAATATTTCCTTTGATCCATAGACCCATTCCCACTAACTGAAAACCCCATGTAACTTTTTGGGGGCATGTCAAATTAAATGCACACCGAAACCAAACATAGTTCTTGCCCAAATTCTATTCCCCTTCCTTTCAGTAACTCTTAATAATTAGCGAAATACACACCATCCGACACTTTGAAAGGAGGTCTTAGTACAGCATCCATAGTTTCTTCCAGCTCACAAAAAGGATTTTCTCCAAAGACTATGGTATAAAGAGTTATACCAAGTGACCACATCTCCAGTTCTGGTCCCAAGTACCTATAGAAGAATGCATAGTTCAAGTCAATAATGTTCACACACACACAACTCAAACAAATGGGGAATTTACTTAAAAGAAAACGCAATTAACTATCATGATATCCAGGCAGCAAAATAAACTGAAAATGATTCCTTACCAACAGCCAATATATTTCCCCTCCCTCCCTCCTACCCACAACAGATATGGCTGAAGAAATGGTGGTTGTGGGTGAGTCTGTGATTGGTCAGGGATCACAGCTGTCGACCTTCCCTTTTTTTGTGGGAAATTCCCTTATTCCAGTGCCGTTTCCCGCTGTTTCCTACTGCTATCCCAGATTGTTAGATATCCCGTAGACTGTCATCGGGACAGGTGAGGCTGCTGATCCCTTATTTTCAAATCTGAAAGTTGACAGCTATGTCAGGGGTTCCTACTGCAGCAATAAAGAGCAAGGAAGATAAAAACACTCTGTCTTTCTCTACTTTATTCTTAAGTTTGTTTCACAGGTCCTACCCCCAACCAAATCACGCTACTGTTGGGCAAGGTCTATAGGTTTTCTTTCAAACTCATACATACGGATTTCCTGAGAGCACTTCTGGTGAGCAGTACTCAATTGTCCCACAGAAGGTATAGAACAACTTGTTAGGTTCCAGGTAAGCAGCTGAGCCAAAGTCTATGAGCTTGATAGTGAAATCTTCAGCAATTATAATGTTCTCATCCTTGATATCTCTGTGAAGGATGTTCTTACAGTGCAAATAGTTCACTGCAGACACCAGCTAATGAACACGCAGAAAAGACCAGAGATCAAAATAGGTATCATTGCCAATAATATTTACTAAATGTAGAAATATTATTTTGGCTTTCCCCCCTGAAAGGACATTTAGCTATTTAAAAGAGGATATACAAAATCATTTGTTAGATTTGCTTTCCTCTTTTTTTTATAATATTAACTGGGCATAATATTTATCAGTTTTTAATCCCATCCTTCCTCCAAGGAGGTCAGAGTGGCTTACATCATTCCCCCATTTTATCCTTACAACAATCTTTTGATAATGTGATGATCTATATCAAAGAGAACGTGATGCATTTATAAGTCTCTCTGAAATAAAATTACCAATAGCATGAGGGGTTGTTGTTTGTTTTTTAAGTAACCAGCAGCTGCAGAGGTCCCCATTCTAACTGGGATCGTTAGAAGTCTTTAGTGTTTTGCCCCTACCGTGAGCTCAGTTCAGATCCCTCAACCACCATAACTATGTTCTTCTAGACAGCTTTCCGTACGATCAACTAACAAGTTGCACATCCATCCAGTTCTTTCATGTTCTTTCTACAGATTTCACTTCAACCAAATCTTACCTGTCTGAATATGTAACTTGCCAAAGGCTCATCCAAATTAGGTTGGTTATCAATGAACGTGAAGAGATCCAGGCCTGACCCATGTCTCTCCATCACCAGCTGGAAGAACTGCTGGTTCTCAAATACATCTAGCACCTGGTGATAAAGAGTACTGCTTCAACTTCACAAACTTTACACCCGATCCCATCCCTCCCTGAATAGGAAATGATCTATTAAGTTCAGGATTATGTTAAACTTACATTATAGAACAATTAAAGTATATTCCACTGATCCAAAAACTAATAAGATAATGCAAATCAGGAAGAAGCAATGGAAGTTTAGGAGGATTTCAACTTCCAAGGTTTTCTATGGAAACATTAACTAGATTCCTTGTACAGGATAACTACTTAAGCCCCATGGGCCTAACTGTATGGACACCTGCCCACATAGTATCTATTAAAAGCCACATTTGTCAAATAGCTGTCTTCTAATTACATTTTCATTTCTAACACCAAACAAAATGAATCTGTGCCACAACATCCAAACATGAAAGGAATTAACTACAGTGGTACCCCTGGTTACGAACTTAATTCGTGCTGGAGGTCCATTCTTAACCTGAAACCATTCATAACCTGAGGTACCACTTTAGCTAATGGGGCTTCCCGCTGCTGCCATGCCACCGCCACACGATTTCTGTTCTCATCCTGGGGCAAAGTTCTTAACCCAAGGTACTGCTTCCGGGTTAGCAGAGTCTAACCCGAAGTGTTTGTAACTCAAGGTGTTTGTAACCCAAGGTATCACTGTATATGAATTTAGATACGCATTTGCATATTAGATGAACAGTACCTTAATAATATTAGGGTGCTGCAGCTTTCTCAGAATTGTAATCTCTTGAGTAACTCTCCCCAGCTCAGGATCGTCTACCCAGCAGTAGTCCAATACCTTCCCTTTCCAAATGAACTTCACTACAGCCTGGGAACAAAGCAAAGCAAATGAGGTAAAGTTGGGGAGTAAACTACTTTAAATAAATAAAACCTTTAATTGCTATTAACATCTAATCAATGAATCTTAAAAGATTGTACATTTACAGAACAATTCTTATTGGATGGGGGGGACATAGTGGATCTGTCATCTCTTGAAAAGCCTTGCCAGTTCACTGTAGCCAGCAACATACCAATGCAACATTATCGAAGACTAATTTTCAGTTTATACAGTTATATAAATTCTCTAAGAGAAAGTGACCCAAAACGTGAGTTTTCAAGTGTCTACTCATAGCCTGTACTGATAGGGTCACATGCATATCACTTTGGAAGCAATTCCATAACCACACCCCGCTTTATTGTGGTCCATAGACCCACAATACATGGTACAATAGTAATATCAAAAGGAAGGTGTAAAATCGGGCTTGCTAGCCATCAAAGGAGGTGAATTCCATAACCACTGGGGCCAGCAACAAGAAAGCTGTCTCTTGTGCCCACCAACACAATTCATCTTGCCTGTGAGCAAGCCCTCCGGCATAGTTCTTAGCATATGAATCTTGTACGTGTAAAAAGGTGGTCTTTCTGGTGTTTTAACTAATGCACAGATGTGCCCACACACATTCATTACTAGCAAGGAGAAAAAACACCAACTGAAAATTGCAGCAAATGCTAGTTCCACTGACCCTTCTGAAATGCTATTTATATTGAACCTGCGAGAAACCACATCCACACAGAGCTTTAACAAATGTTAACAATTTATCTAGAGCATAAACTCTTTAACACAGTGAACAAGACCTGAAGAAGAGCCCATCTAGTCTAGCATTCTCTTCTCATGGTAGCCAACAAAATGCTTTAGGTTGGTGCCACAAGCAGGGCATGAGCACAATACTCAAATCACTGGGGGTGAAGGAATCACTGGCAGGAAACAGTGTCAAGCAACTCACTTTGATTGGAAAATAAAACAGTACTATGTATGCTCATATCTGAACTCTGAAATCTAGATATGTGAAGGATTTTGGAAACTACTAATAAGCACTTCATTCCAAAAATCAGAAGGATTATCAATGAATAGTTCTGTTAACATTTGACAAGTAGTTTTGCTCTTTCACCTCCTTGCAATCCTTTTTGCACCTGGCTGTCCAAACAAATCCAAACGCTCCTCTGCCAATGAGTGTAAGTGTGTCATATTTCTTTCCATAGTCTCCCTCGCAAGCCCTCAGTCTTTCTAGTTCTTCAGCTCTTCGTGAATTCTCAAACACAGGGGTCGCTTTGATCAACTGCAGCAGAAAACACAGACAGATGCTGCAAAATCAGAGAACTAGCTAACATTTGTCTAATCTAAAAAAATAATGAAATACCCAGTACCCTTTGTACAATCCTACCAAACATGCCAGTGACCAGTCCCAGCAAATTGGCAATTCCAGCAATCATCACTAATTGCCAATGAATCATGGTCAAACCTGTCAGTCAGGCTTCCCATGCCTTTTTATTGTTAGGAAGACTGCTCCAGAATAGCCAGCAAATAGCTAGAAGGTGGCTGAGTGTTCTGAATGGGCTAGGGAGCATTTCTTCTCCTCCCCTAGCTAAGGATAATATAATATACCGGTAGGTCGTGGTGTATCTATAAAGCAGGGATCAAGAATGCTTTCTGCTCCACAGGTCAGATCCTTATTAGGATCAGTTTCATGGGTCAAATTTGACAGGTGGTTGGGGTTCCCCGATGGTCAGCCACAAGCAATTATGATATCAAATGACTGGCAGGTTGGCAACCCTACCATCTTCTCAAAATCCCTTTTGCAACTATTATAATCGTTTTTTATATTTGATTGTGGATGTTTTTTCTGTCTTTAATCTTTATCGTGAAATTACTTTGAGATGCTTCATAGGAAGATAAATTAAACAAACAAAATAATAAAAGCTTTTAGCCAGAAGCAGTCACTAGGCCACTGTATTTTCCAGTCAAAAGTTCCATCTACCTGCCGAAATGTTTTTGGGCAGCAGATTTAGGAATTGGCATTGCCTCCCATTTCTTGGGATGCATCCAGACTAGTATTCTCATCATATTTCATTTCATTTTTAACCTTCCTTAACCCAGCAATAAATCTTGGCACTCTCTTTTTTAAAACAAACAAAACCAAAGCAAAATGAAGCTGACTACTCCTTTTTCTAAATAAAACTGAATTTGTGAAATTACACCTGGCACCCATGCATGCTTCTGAAAATACAATGCAGTTTGCAAAAGGCCCACAATGGTGGGGAGAAGGCAGGTTTACACAGTATTGGGAGTGGACCATCTGGGGATTTTGAACTAGGTCAAGTTAGTTTCTGCCAGAAGCAACTGACTTGTGATACTAAGGGTAGATGAAATTCAACATCAAACCAAGGCAATTGTTCCACCAGTGCAAGTGTTTCTGCTTGCCAGACTGAGCTATCTCTTCTCTCCTCCCCCTGTACAGTGTTCTGAGGGTTCTCCATGTTTTCCTGAACCCCCAAGCTGACAGGGGAAGGGTCTTGCTGTACTGGCTCCCACTAGTACAATTCTATAGTTGAATGTGACCTACAGTGTGTTGTACATCCTATCTTCATATAGCTGGTTGTTTGTGTAAAAACAAACACACCAACCAGCCAAGATAGCAGGTTTGCCTACTATTTTTATTTCATGCCCAAAAGTCAGGGGCAGGCCTTAAAACAGACAGAAGATCCAATATACTTACTTCCGCCAAGCTAAGTGCAGAGACGTCACTTAGGTTTGGGGAGGAACTGGCCAAACTGGAAAGTAAGAACTGTGTTTTTGCTGCTGCTTGTTTCCGACTCTGAAAGTGGTCTCTCATAACCCAAATGCAGAAGAGGGCAGCAGGGTCATGCAGTTCCACACGTTTCACTTCAAAGAGTATAGCTGCAAAAATAGAAAGCTCATCAAGAAGGCACTCTAATACCCTAAATAAATGGTGATACAGTGGTGCCCCGCAAGACGAATGCCTCGCAAGATGAAAAACTCGCGAGACGAAAGGGTTTTCCGTTTTTTGAGTCGTTCCGCAAGACGAATTTCCCTATGGGCTTGCTTCGCAATACGAAACGTCTTGCGAGTTCTTGCGAGTTTGTTTCCTTTTTCTTAAAGCCGCTAAGCCGTTAATAGCCGCTAAGCCGCTAATAGCCGCTAAGCCGCTAATAGCCGTGCTTCGCAAGACGAAAAAACCGCAAGACGAAGAGACTCGCGGAACGGATTAATTTCGTCTTGCGAGGCACCACTGTACATATATTTATTTAAACCCTTACCCTGATAGTAAGAATCTGAAATTCACAAATGTTTTTCACTAGATAGGCTTTTAAAAACATAAAACATGTAAATTCTTAAACATGAGCAAAAAGGGCTTAATTATGAACCAATTAAATAAATAAATAGTAGAAGGTGGAGTTTCATCACTGGATCTTTTCCAACAGAAGAATACAGTGGTGCCTCGCAAGACGAAATTAATTCGTTCCGCGAGTTTTGTCGTCTTGCGATTTTTTTCGTCTTGCGAAGCACGGTGTCGGTAAAGTTTTGGAAAAGCTTCAAAAATCACCAAAGTCTTTAAAAACCTCAAAAAAGGCTACCACACCGCGTTCTATGAGTTGCTCCTCGAAGTCAAGTCACAACTGTATTAACGGTGTTAAGAAAAAGGAAACAAACTTGCAAGACGTTTCCATCTTGCGAAGCAAGCCCATAGGGAAAATAGTCTTGCGAAGCAGCTCAAAAAACAAAAAAACCCTTTCGTCTAGCGAGTTTTTTGTCTTGCGAGGCATTCGTCTTGCGAGGTACCACTGTACTCAGTCCTTCTTAAGCAGCAGGCTGATCAACATCACAAGCACATAAGATCATTCTAAAGCAACCCATGTAGGAACACCAAGGCTTTGGCCTTCAGGCAGCCTGCTGTTCACTTTATAGGACTGACAAGCACTCCGACAGCTGACCAGCCCATTTGCAGTGTAAAAAGTTAACCATAAAGCTGCTTGATGAAAATTAAGGCAGAGGTTGACAAGCTCTGCCTAAACATTTTTTTTCACACCAGTTCTCTCTCCTAATTTCACTGCCAATCAAGTACAGATTGAATTCAAAATTAATCAAATTTTGATTAGTAAAATCAAATTAATGTTTTCCTCTGCTACTGTGTTTTTGCATTCCGATCGTGGATGACCAATGCATTAAACCACAGCTTGTCTCTTACCCTTGCGTCAACAGGTTTGTTTTATCATTCCTTGCCTGCTTCGCTCACTGAACACCAGCTTCATGTAACCTTTCCATGCACACTTATGCCCAATTAAATATACTAATGCAAGAAGCAAAAATGTCTACTTTGAACTTACCGAGTCGAGAACCATCTCTGTGGTAGCAGTTACCCGAATAGTTGCCTTCTAGGATCTCGTTGTTCAAAGTAATTGCTGAGGACTGTACAGCTTCTGGTTTCACAGGAGTTGATGTTAACTGTGCCATGCTCTGCTGCATTAACGGCATGAGATCTTCCTGGGACTGTACATCACTGTGCAGTGAACATCCTTCTAAATGTTTCCCCATTCTCTCTGCAACACTTTTGTCCTCTGAAGCACAGCATGTAGAGAGGTCGAGATCCACACACCCTGAATGCTTGCTAGAGAGTAAGCCCTTCCGATGGCCTATTGGAGAACCGTCGCACAGTAGGGGGTCTATCTGAACACTTACAGAAGTATTAACTTCCTGGTCCATGGGCCGCTCAAGATCTTCCTCATTTAACAATGGAAGCTTTATTGGTCTAGAGGGAGCAGAGAAGTCTGAATTCACCTCTCCACTAATCCTCAATGTCAGGTCCGTCAAACCACAGCAAACAGAATCAATCTCATCACTTGGCTTCTTACCACCCACAATCTCCAGTGCAGAGACATCACAAGGTATTGATGATCCTGCTGGAATGGGAAGGCTGCTGCTCCTTTCATCAGGTAACAAGGCTGATGAATCCTTTGCTGAATTTTCTAGTTCAGTATTTTCAAACCTCAAGCTCTTTCTACTACTTGTCAGATTTACTGTTGGCAGCTCATCTATCACCCCGTGAGTGTGTTTGGAACACGGCACTTGCTTGCTACACATAGGCTCATCCAGTGTGGGAGTCCCACAGGACACCTGCACAGCATCACAAGTCACACTTGCCCCAAGCCCTAAATCCTCTTCTAAGAAGCATGTCACAGAAGTCTGATCACCCATGAAAAAGTTCTCTCTTTCTGAAGAAGTAGTGGCATAATGGCACTTCATGATTTCATGTGGTGAACCAGAACTGTGTATCTCCAAAGGGTCATCTTCTTCTTTATGAACTAGATCAGATGTGCACCTGGCAAGATTCTTCTCTCTCGGTTTAGTTCTACCTTCCAACATGCATGGTTCAGAATGAAATCGTTTCGAAGAATGTATTTTGCACTGCTGGCAGTCATTTAGTTTTGCAGCCTCTGTCTCAGGGCAGCCTCCATCCTGTGAACTCTCAGAAGGCAGCGCTTCATTATGGACCAACGCATAGTCCCTGCTGTGTAAGAAAACAAGTTACTAGTTGGGTTATAATGAACGAGGGAGCATCTTCCCCATTACATTACATTCCTTGCCCTTCCCTATCCCGTGGTGTAAGGTCAGGAGATCCCACTGGAGCTGTCCAGTTCCGAACATCAGTGGCAGCTGGATACCCAATATCCTTTGGTAACTGGCAAAACTTGCCACATGCAAGTAAAACCTACCCATTCACTGGTGTGACTGACTCTGGAAGAGATGATACAACAGAAGGTAGGCCACCCCCTCTGTCCAGCTGGGTATGGAACTCTACTCCATCGCTGCTCATTGTAGTGGCAGATTGGCACTTCAGTATTTCATGTGAACCAGAATCACGCATATCCAATGGCCCATCTTCTTCCTCAGATGCGCACCAGGAAATGTTTCTGCCTCGCACTTTAGTGCTACCTTTCAACACACACTGTTCTGAATGAAACCGTTTGGGAGAACATACTTCGTACCGCTGACAGTTAGCAGGTTTTATAGTCTCAGCGCAGCCTCCATCACATCGACTCCCAGAAGGCAGCACGTCCTCATGGGCCAGCACATCGCTGGAAGGTGTATAGCCCCTGCTGTGAAAGAAAACAAGCTGCTGGTTAGGTTATGTTGAACGAGAGCAGAATCTTCACCAGTGTTTCCCACTCCCTGATAAAACATCAGAGCCAGCTGCATTCCTAGTGCACTTTTGTGACTGTCAAAACCTACCCATTCAGTGCTGCAGCTGCCTCTGGGGAGGATAACAGAACAGAACACAAACTACTCCCACTCTTTGGCTGGGTTTCCTTCCAGGTACAGAGTTCTGCTCCATCACTCCTTGCTAAATCCTGTTGCTCTTGCAGCAAAGCCACATCTCCAGCAAGGAGTGGGCAAGTGCCTGGAACAAAGAAAGAAAACTGTGGTATGTTGCAAGTTGTCAGCAAGGCATGCACTGGAAGACTCTATGGGCCATTCCACATGTTAAACGTTTTTAATGGCTAAATGGCTCTCCACAATGCCTTTTCTGCTGGATATGAAAGGTTAAATGAGATGTAAGTGCTTAAAATGTTATAAATTTAGCAAGTATGTCTTGTAACATTTACATACTGACATTTTATCACCTTCTGTAATGGCACCCAGAATGTGGAATTAGTTCCCTAGAGAGCCAGCTGTCCCTTACAATTAGTTACTTTTAGGTGTCAGCTCAAGACATACTTGTTTTCTCAGGCCTACAATACTGGTTGAGAGGAACTGGCTGTTGGACTGTTTTGCAATCTGGAATTTGCCTTATATTGTTGTTTTATGAGATATATATATATGTATGTATGTATATCTCACAGTTAGCTAAAATTATGTTCTTGAAGTCTCGAGTAGGACATTCTAAGGCTAAAAGAGCAGTTGTTTAAGGGAGGGACAAGAACGCTGCTTATTTACTGTGGACAGCCCTTCCAGGGGGCATGCATCAGCCAGCCAGACAACAAAGGTTAACACCCTATTTCCTTGAATTGCTGTGTAGCAATTCTCCAGTGAGGAACAGTTTCTAGTATCAAGATCCATGAGACATATAAATTAAACCATGTTTCAGGTAACTCTGTGGTACAGCCATTTCAAGTTGTTTTCCTTTTATTTTTGCAGATGGATATGTCCAAAAGAAGTGAGAACAAAAAAAATTCTATCAAGAGAGAAAGTGTGAATATGACATTCCATTCATTATAATGTCAGATCCACCCCACGGCCTATTAAAAATAAAAAAGCACAGCTTTTTGTTGCATTTCCCACCTCCGTGAATTTACCTTCGCTTCCTTCCACCATACCATAGCCATCTACCTTCGGTTCCTTTGAAGCCCCCAGAGGAGCTCACATTTTCTGAGTCCACATCGTAACTTTCTCTAGATTGTGGGAGTTGCAAAGAGGAATCATCAACTCTATCCATGTACTTATAAAAACCAGGAATCAAGAATGTGATGTTCTGAAATACAAAATAAATGTGATGAAATCCCTCCTTTCCCCCTCACTGCATACTGAGAAATACCAGAATAATATGTGACTGAATAAAAATATCATACGAGTAATCTTTGTCCAATATGCACTTTAAAAACCATTGTTGTACAATGTAGTTTGTTTCTGAAACTTTGAAAGTGAGTTCCCCCTTGCTTTGGCAGATCTTAGCTAATTTCTGACAACTTAATTACAATGCGCCACTCTATATTATGCCACTGTCGAATGGCGTCCCCCCACCCAACTAATCCTCAGCAATCAGCAGTGGAATGGATATACTTCCCAAGTGGCAGCATTCCCATGACTTCACCATGATCTTTCTCTAGAGGAAAACAAAAGCAACAACAAAACAATACCTTCCCTAGCAGCTCCTTTTTCTCATAACCAAAGAGCATTAGAGAAAACGTATTGTTGATTCCATAAATTGTACCATCCGCTTGAACAGTGATTAGTCCGCTGATGGTGGTGAACACCCAGATGGAAGCACGGAAAGAACAATCTACAGGGGAGGTGATGCTGGTGTCATCTTCTAAAATTTCAGCATCAGGTACTGGTGCAGGCTTATCTGGTACAGGGATGGTGTCTTCAACAGGCAAGTTAACTTCCAGTTTCAGGCTGAGAGGAAATGTTGTCCCCTCTCTTGCTCGGCCAACAGATCTCTGAATTTTGATATTCTGGGAGGAGGAAAAGAAGACTTGTAACATAATGCAAATCTAAGCAAATTAAAAGCTCAGTGACAAGTGGCCAGGAAATCAGTCAGATGAATTTTGACTGAAGGCCTTAAATTACTATCACAGAGTTATGCACAAGAATCAGTCCGTGCAAAAAACTTTAAATCTTGTGAAGTGGGGACTAACAGATGGACAACAAAGTGGATCTTGTGAACCTTTATAATTACAGAAAGACCTATATTTCAAGGCTGGAACTCTAAACACACACCATCTATTACTCAGCAGTTTGAAGATTTTACTGCTCCCTCTCCATATTTGCATGTGTATCTTATAATCAACAATCTCATATAACTATTTGGACATGGCTTATATTTATACATTTAGAATACGCTTTATGAACTGTTCTTTTTTATGCACTCTTATTATTAATGAGAACAGACTCCCCTTCCCCTTTTCCTTCTATTTGCAATTAAGAAGAAAAAAAGAAACAAATTACCCAAATAACATTTAAAAGAACAGCTAAGTATAATTTACATCACAGTACCTTTGGTATTTTCTTGCCAGGTATGGGAATTTGAACAGATGGAATCATGTCTGTTATGTACTGACCAACCACTTCTTCCGATGAGGCATAACCATAGAGATGAGCAAAAAGGAGGTCACAGGAAGTAATCTCTCCCTTAAAATGAGAGTTACAAGAATTAGGCTCATGAGGACACTGAGGAGATTTCACCCCTCCCATATCCAAGAATCTCCTGAGGAGTCTGCTGATTCTCCAGAGAGGAGGAGGCGTGTTCTGCTCTCTACTTATTCTGCTCCAGCACCACATCAAAGAATCAGTCAGTGTGTGGGAGAGAGAGAGTGTTAGAGAGATTGTGTGTTTAGATAAGGTTGCTGCTAAGAGCAGCTGCAGACACTCAGTGCGGTTCAGCATTCATTTCTGCTTAGACCTACTTAGCTCTGTATATAGTTGTATTATAGTTGTAGTTATAGAATAAAGAAGATATTCTACAGAGCTGCTCTCCGAGTTGTTTATATACTCTGCTAGACTCTGCTGTGCGACGACTGTCTTCTTGTGGGAGTGAATCCGGTGCTCACAACTCTAAGCTGTGAGTCCACAGCACTTTGGCCTGTTCCTGTGCAGAAGGTGGTCTCTGGAAGTGCTACCCAGCTCGCCTGGCCCAGTCGGGGCTGAGGTGGATGAGTCCAGTTGGTGACACTGGCTCAAGGGCGATGCTGACAGACACTGCATTCTAAAATATTAGTTCTTGACAGTAATTAAGGTAAAATGGCCAAAATATATGCAAAGAGGGTAAAACAATTCAGCACCACTAATTCAGCAGACTTTGTCTCAATGAAATGCCACTTTAAGATGGTGAATTTCCTCGTGGTTGTTTCTTTTTATCCCCTGAAATCTAGCTAATTTAGATGCATTTATTTTATTTACAATATTTTTATGATGATTTTCTGTCCTACAAAAAGCCTCCAATAAGAAACAATCATTAAATTACATTTTTTAAAAAATACAATTGTCAGAGCTGCCCTAGGTCCCAGCTCACAAAGGACCAACGCCAGTTCGTTGTTATATAAAACAGTCTTTATTGAAGCTCAGTTTTACTTTCACAGCCGCGGCGCACAGCTCTACGTCTCAAACTCTAGACCGCCGAAGCTCCGTCTGAATCTCCTCCCCCCCAGACACCAGTTTAAGACTCTAGCCTTGCTCCACCTCTTCGTCTGCTCTCTTCTCCTCTGGGCCCGCCTGTCCGCTGGGGTCTCGCCTCTCCTAGACTCTTCTGACGCTGAGTCTCCTGAGTCCTCCCCCTCCCTCCGGCGGGCTTTAGGACCTGGTTCCCAATCCTGGTTTCCTGCTGTGCCGCGCGCCTGTACATTCGAACTTGGCGCGCGCGCCCAGCCGGCCACCTTCCTCCTGACCGTTACACTGCTCCTGTCACTGCTTCCCCCTTCGGGGAGGCTAGCTGCACCTGACTCTCCCTCCGTTCCCTCACTCTGCGATGGAGGCGTGGCCACCCTTGACTCATCCTCTCTCCCTGCTGGAGGGGAAGCTGGCCCTGATACATGTGACTCTTCCCCCTCACTACGCTCTGGTGGAGGAGCTGGTCCTGCTCTCCCGCTGTTGCTTTGGGATTCCCCGCTGGCCCCTTGCTTCTGGTGTGTCCCCCCTGGGACCCCCCTTGCTCTGGCCATCGGCGCCCCCCTCTGGGAATCTTCTGATTCGCTGGAGAGACTCATGGAATCTCTCGGGCCAGTCTCATACTCCCCTACGCTGCCCTCAGATTCTTCCCCTTCGCTCTCCATTTCCTCTCTCCCCTGTGCCTCTGCTCCTGAGCCCCTGACAACAATCATTTACTTTCTTCAGTGCCTCGCAAAGCCAAGCAATCCCTTCACATCAACGAAAGTTCCATACCTATCTCAAATTACAGCAGCAAGGTTAAACCATTTATTTAAACAATTCCAGTCCCCAGTATGTTGTTTTTAGGGAGCCTCCAGCTTTGTGGGCCTAATGAGACATGGCAGGGGTCCTAATTTGACCCACAAGGGCATTTTCCCCAAACCATGCCCATCTGCCTCATATATGATGTCAGGTTATATATTCCATTATACAGCAATGGAAAACTCAGCTTTAAGCCTATTCCAAATTGTTCCTTGAGCAACTAGATTCACTGGCAGTCCCTATCAGCTGATCAGCCTGCTTGCAAACCCCACTGAGAACAGCTTCACTAGGGAGTAGTTCATCACAAATCCTCTAGTATAGAGGACTCTCAGCACCTCCAAAAGGGACACACAATAACCACCAATCACCTGAGTAGTGGTGGCAGAGAGCCTCATTGAAGTTTTCTTTTTGCTGGCATGGTTTGATTTCAAACCATAACTGGAAAGAGACATCCCCCCCCCCAGTCTGCAGAAGAAATGCCCATCTGTGTGCATGAATTGAATCCAAATCACAGCTGCAAATGGACTTCAAAGTGACCTCTCTGAAGTTGGTACCTGATGCCAGAAGATGATCAGAAGGCAGGCAACACTGTCCACCTGTCAAAGGTTAGCCCAAGGGAGATGGGGAAAGGAAGGATCCTGCACACCAGCCAGATCTAGTTTACCAACCCATTTTAAGCAAAATGTTGTTCAAAGGAAATGGGTCATATAAAATCACTAGCACAAAACAACTGATGACCATTATATATATATATATATATATATATATATATATATATATATATATATATGCTTTCGTAGATTTTCACGGGTACAGGAATGCAGGTTTTGGTGTCCTCGGGTGTCTTCCCGTGTAAAAGTTGGGGTGTCTAGGCGACGTTTCGACGAGGTCTCACTCGTCATCTTCAGGCTGGTGCTTTCGGCTTCTTGTTACTGGAACAGAGCCATATATACGAAAGCAAATATATATATATATATATATATATATATATATATATATATATATAAATATGGATATATATAAAATGGATTATATATATATATATATAGACAAAAATTGGCTGGTAAATTGCTTTGTGTGTGATGAAAACCAAAATCGTTTCAATAACTCCTAGTACCCCATAACTGTACTTGATAGCTAGTTGAAAGACATTGCTGCAATTTAAGCTAACTGGATACTCACTCTGCTTGTGAAGAAAACAGAGGCAGAAAGTCTTTCCACAGGCTCCAAAACCACCACACAGTACTGACTGCAATGGGTTTTCATTCTTCTCATCCATACAGAAACTGGGATCTTTTCATTGCTATGGGAAATAACATCTACCTATTGATAAAAGACAGTGTTAAATTTCTAATCTGTAGTGCTTAAAATTTGATCAGCCATGTGACTAACTTTCAGTGACTTACTTTCAATATAAACCTTGTGTTTTTATTTGTGGAATTTTGCAAATGTAATAGCTTTACTATATAGGATATGCAAGTGTGTAAGCAAATAAGCATACGGTACATTACTTCTGAAGTAACAACTTTTAGGTGTTTAAAAACTGAACAAATGTTAAAGTACCTCTTCATTAAATATGAGCAAGAGCAGCCTTATATTTACATGTTGGCTTCCTACAGGCCCTTCTGTGGCTATCAATACCTATATGAGTAGTAGTAAAAATTCAGAAATGGTAGCATATACGTTGCTGCTATGACAAATATTCTGTTCTCACATACCACAGTTCCGGGAACTACTGCTTCATATTCAGCATCATCGTGCTCTTCCTTCAGTACTTCCATAATATCCCAATTGGATTTTGAAATCATCTGAGATAATTTCTGGCCAATCACCTCCTGAGTACTGTAACCAAGAAGCTTGCAGGCTTTGTCATTTGCAACTAGAATCTAAAACAGAGGAACAAGAAAAGTAAACTCAGCTTTTCTTCTTCTGTTAAAAGTAGAGTTTGATGCTATTTCAATGGGGAATGAGCTCTTCAGTTTACATTGATATTCCAAGTTACTTTGTACAGAAGCATTCTTATACATGCTTACTCAAAAGACAGTGGAGCAACAGTAACTTTCTCCAGATCGTGCCCAAAATATATGACCAGGACAAATGTCTGCTAATTACTGTTTCACAATTTACCCTCTAAAAGAGATACTGTTTTCTTTTCAGCTTTATCTGTGTACTGCTCAAATAAATTTATTGTATAAATATCCCATTAACAGTGCACCATAGCCTTGTTTACTAATATGCCTTCAGTAAGTGATTCAAGCTAAAATACCAACAAGTCAGACAACTAGGAAACTACAATATTATGGGTTCTCGGATATAGGCAGCAATCTCTAGTTAAAAGAACAATTACTTAATTGGCCCTTAACAATAAAAGTGGCATACCAAATACAGTTATTACCAAACCACATCCAGCCCCATTTTGGTCTACAGTTTTACAGACATAGCCAGCTGCAGCTGCTCTCAGTGAAAGGGGCTGTTTGCAACTCCAACCATACACAACAATGTAGTAGCAAAGCAAAAAATTATCCATATAGATCCCATTGCATTTTCAAGATAAGACATGGAGTAGACACTCTTTTCCAATATTAAAAAAGAGCAAAAGCAGCCCGACCCTATTCTTTAGCTATCAGCCAGCTTCCTTTCTCCTCAACTTGGCTACTCATTTAACAAAGTAGTTAGCAAATTCAACATTGATTCAGTAATCTGCCTTGCCTCTGCCCCATGCTTCAGCTGAGCTGTCCAATTTTTTTATTATTATTATTTTAGTTAATTTGTACAGCACAACATGGATGTTCATTCATCTGGATGCTAGTCTGGTACAGTATCATTAATATTATTAAAATTTTAAAAAGCTATGATCAGCTTTTTAAAAGAAGAAAAACTGTTCCAGGAAGAAATTTGTGACATTACAGGGATCAAACAATCTGCCTTCTGAATGGCTGACATCTGATTTAACAGGAAGAAAGATATCAAACCCTCACCATAAACTCAGTGCTGAAGAAAAAAAACCTATACACCTGTACAAACTGTAGGCAGTACAATTCCCCAGTTCAAGTTATGTACATCTCTACATGCATCCTCATACTACCATTCCTCTAACCACTTAGTTGTACAGTGGCAGCTTAGTCACCAAACTTTATTACACAGGGCCAAGACTTCTCACTACTCTGGTACAAATTGAAGCTAAGCACTCTTGTAGAAGTCATTGAAGAAAATAGTGAACCAGGTGGACCAGTGCTTTGACTCTGTGTAAGGCAGCTTCCTGTGTGCACATATTTGGGGTCTTGTCATGAATCAGATGATATCAAAGGTTGCAAGCATTGTTAATGACTTTTATACAGTTATTTTACCATAGTTTTCTACACACCACTAAAGACAATATTTGTATACTAACAAATGTACATGTACATATGAGTCTTTAGGAAGGGGGGGCGTTTTCTGCATCTGAAAAGGATGATTATCTTATATTATATTAGTGCTGTGCTAGAAAATTACAAATATCTTTAGTTTGATTGATTCCCCCCCCTTCACACACACTGCCTGACCCAATCCAAAACCACTCGTTATGATGCAAATGAATTACTGCAATATATGTTGTACAACTACAACAGGCTTTGCTACCCAGGGGTCCTCTACATACACATTCACAGTGTGCAATTGTGTGTAAGGTAACACTTTACAAAAGCTAATTATTACCTCAGTTGTTCTGACATCCACAGTGAAAACAGCTTTGTTTGGGTTGCGCACAGCAGTTGCCAGAGCTTGGATGGATTCTTCCAAAGTCAGAGCATTTAAGAGAGAACATGAAGAGGTACTGCATATCGAGCAAGAAAGGGAATTGTTTTCCAAATGAGTCCAAGTGTTGTGAAACTTGCTAGCACAGATGTTCTGGGCAGCTAATGAAGATAGGCAAAAGGAACTCCATCCATTTTCTGAGAAGAAAGGAGGGGAAAGTTCCACAAGTATCTGTCATTAAATATATGTAAGATTTCAAGACAACCACGTATCAACTGTTAAAAAGAAACATAGTTACAGGCAATAATTTGTTTTTAAAAAGTTACAGGGAAGAACTAAGCATGAGAAAAAGATTAGAAAGGCAATTGTGTTTTAATTACGGTAATTAACCTAAAGAGACAAATGACTCATTCCCTGAATACTGTCTCAGAAAGCACAGGGCACCTGTACCGGATATCAGCCATTATATGATGAGATCCCAACAGTGGGAGGGAAAGGATCAATAATGGCAAAATGCCAAGCATCTAGTCAGCAAGGCTCAGCATATTACAAAAAATCATAGCATGCCTACAAAAACATTCACAATTCAAAGACAATTATGATCTGTTTCTGTCCAATTTTCCAATAAACTCCTCTTTCGTTTCTATCCCATTCCCTTAGTGTTCCTTTCTCAAAGCTCTTTTTGAGAAACACAAGCATGTCCGCATGATTAAAGAGTTGAAAATTACCCCTCTGTCTTTGACTAACAAATACATTTCATACATCTCCACCTGCCAAGTAATCACCTGACAAAGATGTTTTCTTCTTGCAGAGCCTGGAAAGCCCACTCTTCCTTTTCTTATTTATCCAGGCAAATGACTTGCTTAGTTCTTCACAGACACCAGGATGGGACAAGGCTATTGTAGAACCCACAAGGACGTCTTTGGATGGTGACATGGTCATGCATGGACTAGAGTACTTCCGCCTAAAAAATCCAGCCTCTGTGAGGGAAACAGAAGTTGCACATTAATATCTCAGGCTGTACACACCATTCAGTTTGGCTGAACAAGATTCTGATATGTTGATAAAGAGGCAGCAGGGCAAAAACAGGTACAGTGGTACCTCGGGTTACATACGCTTCAGGTTACAGACTCCGCTAACCCAGAAATAGTACCTCGAGTTAAGGACTTTGCTTCAGGATGAGAACATAGATCGTGCTCCGGTGGCGCAGTGGCAGCAGCAGGAGGCCCCATTAGCTAAAGTGGTACAGTACTTCAGGTTAAGAACAGTTTAAGCACAGACCTCCGGAACAAATTAAGTACTTAACCCGAGGTACCACTGTATTGGGGGGGCATGGGGAAGTTGGACAGCAAGGAGATGGCCAGTGAACATAAGACAACTCAGCAGGACTAGGATGACTTGAAGCACTGAAACAGGGGATAGAACTAGACAGAAGCCAGCAGAAAGAGATGCCATTAAAATGTTTAACAGCAATTACTTTACAGTTGGAAAACAAAACCTGCATTTAGGCAAACAGCAGCCAAGCACAGGATAAAAGCTACTGGGTTTGCCACCCAAACTGGCAATTTATTTCCCTAGTGGAGAGCCAACCAAGAATGAGCTGATGGGCAATGGCAGAGGCTGCTATTAGCAGCCGAGAAAAGTGGTTGAAATCACAGCTGTATTCTGACAGCAAATAACCCCCATCACATGATGGGGAAGGGGCACCCAAACCAACCCACATTGCTTGGGAATGTAGTCACTGACTGATAACAATCGGATGTTTCCAGAGTCTACTATTTGGAAGCAGGGGAGAACTAAGTTTACCCAACCAAGAAGGAAACGCCCTCTGCACATGTTCAGAGGTACCCTTTATATTTAACCCTATATGTACCGGAGCTGGTCCCTGGGGCTGAAGACGTGCTCCGGGGCTGAACCGAAGCACCTTCCTTCCCGCTCATCCCAACTTCTCTTCTCTCCTGCCAGACTTCAGACGCAACTGCCTTCCCGCCCGCCCGCGGGTCGACCTGAGTAGGCCGAGAGCAGAGTCGAGAGCCAATGAGACGCGGCAGAACTGGCGACGGACAGCTGGGCAATCCAACCAATTTCGAGGCGGGGGGCGGAGCCAGCCCCCGCGCTCGGAGACAAAGAAGTGGAAAATCCCGCGCAAAACGGTTGCTAGGGACGCGCCAGCAACGTTTTATAGAGCCATGGGGGCGGGAGAGAAAGAAGCCCAACTCCGTCGCTTCCCAGTCGTCAGGCGGGGAGGGAAAGGGAAACATGACGACTTTCTCAACATGAGAAAGCGAATAACTTTCTCAACATGAGTTTCTTCCACTGCCCTATACACGTTTCAATATATCTGCATGTTTATAGTCCTCACGCAGCTTGTGGTCGCTTTAAACACAGCATATTCCAAATTCTGAGTCTGGTCTCTGCCTTCCCTCGTCGTTAAGCAGGCATTGGATGTGTTTTCGGGTCAGGCCAATGAGCCCCTTTCTTCCGTGCTATACGCAGCTTTGACTACCCCTCGCCTGTTCCCGCCCCGCCGCCCGTTTTTATTGCCTTCCTACCTTCCGCCCGAGTTATTTCCCCGCCTTTTGGTCTTCCTTTCTGTATACTTGAGGCCAAAAGCCAGCCACCCGCCACCAGCTCACTTATCCTGCGTTCTCCTTCTTGCCCCCGCCTTAGTATTTACCTCCTGCTCAACTCCTTATCTACGGAAAGCTAACAAGCAAATTCTGGGCTTGAAAAAGCTTCAGGAGACACCTGTTTAGTTCTGCTTCACTCAGACCGATTAAACTGGGGCTGCGTATACACCTGAAGCAATTTTAAAACACAATTCCCCTCGCCTCCCCACCAAGAACCCCGGGGACTGTGATTTGCCCCTCATGCTACAATTCCCAACAGCCTTAGCAAACTACGGTTCGCAGGGTTCTGCTGTGCTCTGAACATTTCCCTGGGAAACTCATTTCTGTTTTGGGGACCATTCTGTGGGTTAAAAATAGGCCTATAGAGATGCAGAAGCAAGGAGTTTCCCCTGGGGCATCTCAGTTCTCAGATCCTGGCAGCAGGCCAACCACAGTAGTCAAACTGCTGACAAGCCAGCTGGTCTTCCAACATACCCACTGCTGCTGATTATCAGAGCTGGCAAAGCCCTGTGCAGTTTGATTTCAAACTGTGCAGGCAAAGGAAAGCAGAGGGCAGAGGACTATGACACCAGATGATTGACAGGTAGGCAACCTTGTCTACCTTTCAGGTGGCCCATGGGGGTGAAGGAGGTAAAGATCCAGCCCACTGCACAATCCAGTTTCCCACCCCCGATCTAGATCCTTTGCAGTCTAGGTGCAGGCCTGGTAGTGGGACAGAATCAGCCTGGGTGCCTCATGGATGAGCTTTGTTGAGAGCAGGGCAGAGTGAGTAGGACTGTTCTTGATCTTTCTGTGGATTTTGATACTTTTAACCAGGGTACCCTCCTGGACCAACTCTGTGAGATGGGCACTGGAAGCACTGTACTGCAGGGCTTCTGATCCTATTTGCAGTGTTGAGTCCAGAGAGTAAGATGGGGCGGGTGTGGGTGTGTTAATTGGCTCTATGGTGCATATCAGGGCACCATTTTATCATCAATGCTTTTTAACATCTATATGAAGCTGCTGGGAACAATCATTAGGAGCTTTGGGCAGGATGTCATCATTAAGCTGGTGCTGACTACATTCAGCTCTTCTCCATTACATCTTAATCAGATGAGGTTGTGCGAGTCCTGGACCAGTGCCTGGATGCAGTGATGGGCTGGATGAAGGCCAATATACTGAGCTTCAGTCCCAAGAATAGCTTCCTAAAAGAAGCAGTGGTGAGATTTCTTTTTTTATTATTATTTTAAAAAAACCTCCTTGAATCCCATGGTATTTTCAACCTGTCTCCAATCTTCCATTCTTTGGCAAGGTGTCAGCTACAGGGTTTCCTGGATGAAACGGATTATCTAGATCCATTTCAATCTGGTTTTAAGTCTGGCTATAGAACAGAGACTGCTTTGGTCACCTTGGTGGGTGATCTATGCCAGGAACTGGACAGTGGGAATATGTGCCTGTTGGTGAGCTACAGCTCTCCCAGCTCATAAATCACCAAGGCCAGATTCCACCCCACCACACTGCCCAGCCACGAAGACTCTCCAGGTCCTCCTCGTCCACTGGCATTCTGGCACAGCTACTCCTTCGCTCATTCACAGCAAACACTCCAGCACCGTACAGCCAGACCTCCTCAGCACTCTGCTCAACCTCAGGAAGCCATCAGAGCAGCAAAAAAACATTCTGGGCACATGACCTGTCATGGAATTCTACTCAAAGTGATCCAGAGCAGAACTCCAATGTATAGTGAGCAGAGCAGAGCAAAAACTTAAACACATTGCAGGATTCCCAAAAAAATAGACCAGAGGCAATTAATATTTCATCCAACAGAGCTTTACTGCTACTGAAGGCAAATGAGCATAATGGTCACAAATCTAATACATTCAGGATTGCCACTGTCCATAAGAAATCCAGTTGCAGCAGACATAACTTAAACTTACAATAACTTATAATAAGGCTAAAGCTTAACACTATATACAGAACACCACACCAGAAGAGAGATAGAAAGATAAGTGAAACCCAGGCTCCTTCTGGCCTATTATTATAGTCAGAATGACCTTGACTGAAAGATATAAGAGACCCAGTTTAAGCCAGCTGTACTCAGCTTCTCTAAAGGAATAACACAAACATCATGAACCTTCTGCTTGTTTCTTTCACACAGAAAAGCTTCCAGAACCCTCTTGAATTAATCAGAATAGGAAATATCTCTACACATCAGATCAATACTTTTTGTACTAAAAAATGCAGACTGACACTGTTGGGCCTCTCAGCAGATCTTGGTGTGGGATTTGGGGCCACCCAAGATGGGTTGCCTCAGGTCGCCTCATTGGCTGCTCCAGCAGCAAGCTAGCTTAGTTGCTGTAGGGCGGACCACGTGGCACACCTTTCTAGCCACTTTCCACCCCTCCGAATTTGCTGTGAGGCAGCTGCTTCACTCTGCCTCATGGTAGAGCATATTCCTTTGATCCAGCAGGGGTCTACTTGTGTATGCATATCCATAGTTATATGCATTTGATATATTTGGCAAACTTCTGGCGGGGAGAGTAAACAGCATAACATTGCAATGAAAGCTGAAGAAAAACAGATGAGCCCATAAACCACACACTAAGATCAGCTACCAAAACCTAGTTATCCAACACAGGAAGTGCAAGCACCTCCTCCCAAGATCTCCGGGGATGGGCGAACGGCAAGGAAAATGCAGTTTAGCCCTTTTCCTTTAGCCACCCTTATTTCCCCCATTCCCCACCCCCCCAAAATTCTTATTTTTTTGTCAGCCGGATTGCTGGCATGGAGACAGCCAGCCTTCACATCCCAATCCAGGGGCGACCATGACAGCGCGTCCCTACAGCTGACCGACAAGCACCGCGGGGGACGTCCGCTGCCCATCCAACCCCCCTGAGATTGTTCCACTAGTATTTCCTTGGCTTGCCGCCGAGTCTCCTAAAGGAGAACTACATTTCCCAGAAGGCCGCGGGTCCAGGCGCAGGCGCAAGAACCCCCCTGGGAGCCGCTGCGGCGAAGCCGGCCCTGTGATTGGATGCAGGCGGTTCCGAT